GGTGGTGGACGACGGTGGCGGTGATGGTGGACGGTGGTGATGGTGGTGGACGGTGGTGGTGGTGAAGAGAAGTAGAAGAAAAAAATGGAGAAGATGTTAGAAGACATAGGTTAATGTCTTCTCCAAGAAGATGTCAGGAAGACCTTTTTGAGTGAAATGTTTTCCAAAAAACAATCTGCATAGCTCCTCATCTGCGCCCGTCTGCCCGGCGCAGACAAAAGAGGTCAGAAGCTCTTCTGGCCAAAAAACAAACACCCCCTTACTCCATTCGTCCCTGAGTATTTGTCAATATTTGACTTTTTTCGGTCAAAATTGGTAAACTTTGACTTTAAATTAAATAAAAATGATATTAGATATTGATACAAAAATAATTTTATTAGATTTATCATATCAAATATTTTCAAAAAATTATTTTACCTAACTAATATACAATATATATATTATTTAATTATAGGTCAAAGGTTGAAAACTGTTAACCAAAAACAGTCAAAACTGGACAAATACTCAGGAACGGAAATAATATTACTCCCTCTGTCCCAAATTATAATGCCTGTTTACTATTCACAGGGTCAAATTTCATTCACTTTCTTTCTCTATTTTCGTTAGCAATTTGATAAAATAAAATATTATTGTCACTACTAGTTTTGTAGATCTTTTGATGTAATTTTTTAATATGTAATTTTTATTTTTTAATTCTATACCATTTGTCATATTAAATGGTTTGAAAATAATTTCAGTCAAACATCGTAAACCGAAACAGGCGTTATAAATTGGGACGGAGGTAGTAGTATAATTGTTTTGTTTCTTCAAATGAGTTGTTATTATGGAAGAGTTATTAAATGTTAATGAGAAACCTTCACAAAGTACATTTTTATTCAAAAAATCATATATGGAATTTCATACTCTATATGGACATATGGTAGCCATTGGAGACGATGAAAACCATGTCATTACTTCATCCAAAGTATTTTCAAGATTTCTATTGTTAATATACTTTCCAACAAAGAGGTCATCCATTTCAAAGTTTGGTTAACGACATCTTTTTATATCTAACAATTCGTAAGAGGGTAATGAAAATGTAGAGTTTGATGTGCTTGAATAGTTGAACTTTCAGTCCTCATCATGTCCATGTTCGCAAAACAAGCACTACTGAGGCGAGTTTCAATTAGGGGAGGGGAAAACAAATTAACCGACTATCCAATCTAACTAACTGTCTGACCGTTTTGTTGTTAGCCCACTATCGAATGCAAGAAGTGGGTTACGATATGGATTAGTAACACTTCATAGAATCTACAACCACATAGAGAAGCAGATGTTCTAAAAAATAATTTGACTGAAATATAAAAAAATAAACGTTATGAAATATGTATTTATGTTACATGATAAATACAGGCCAATTTGCGCATTTTCGGAACCGCGAGCATGAAAGGATATGAATCAAACATTATCAGGCCAAAACTCCCTGTAGAAGTCCCTTACTAGTTCAGTCTCTTGCAAGCGCTTCTCCATCTCTAGCATTTTTTTCATCTTTTTGGTAGCAGCTTTTGTTTTCTTTTTCAACTGCAACAGAAATGAGCAAAACAAATTAGTTGGCAGCAAACCAGGCATTGCCTTTACACGCATAAACTACTAAAACATGCAAAAATGAATTCAGAAAAATAATAGATCAATGGGATCAACAATCAGCAATATGATTAACAGAAGGCTGAGATTTTCTCATGGCACCATAACCCAATTCAAAATAAATGGTGTTAATAAAGGGAAGATGCGCATAGAGATCAGTCAATCCGATGACGTAAAACGCACATAAGCTTCAAAGGAAAGCACCATTGAGTTTTTACGAATAGAGAACCATTTAAGTGTTCCAGATCTAGCTTATCTCATTGCTTGAGATAGAGTCCCCCCTAGTGAGTATCACGATATATTCAAGGAACCTTCAAGCCAACTGCTAGCCTGAGAGTGCGACCACCCATACTGGTAAAACTTAAAAGTATGAGATCATTGGCATGTCTTTCAGGTTAATAAGCGGGATGACTCACGGCGACTTTCAGTTTTTATCAAGGGTTGATGTGTAAATTGGGTCGGGCAGGTTGGGTTCGAGTACCACTTTGGGTTCGGATTGAAAACTCCTCAACCCTGACCCTGAATATGTGGGACTGAGATGACCTTGAGGGTTGAGAGCCTTTTTATCTCATTTTAATGACTGTTTTGTTTTTAAGTTTAAAAATTATAATATGATCAAAGGTAATGATATTACTTACAATAATATGAAAAATTAAGATTAAAAGGAAGTGTTTTCTCCAATTTAAATATGAAAATCACGCTTTTCGAGAAAAATATATTCTAAAATCATACTCCGTACTATGTTAGCATCATACAACTTATCATATGAATTAACACGAAAATATTTTTCTCAAATATATGGATGGAATTTAACTCTGACTCGTTTCGAGGTCAGCCCAACTGCCAAACCGGGTCAGGTTGGGCTTGATCCAAAATTATCCGGGTCAAATGGGTTTGGGACATTTCGGGTTCAAGTCCAAAAGGTCGTGTTTAAGACCCTAAACTTTCGGGCAAATTCGGGTCGGTTTTTCAGGTTGAGTTTAAGAATTTACAGGTCTACAAGTGTCTCACTCCCGTGGTTGACAGGCATCCCATACCCGTGGGCCATATAAGATCGACTTCTAGAGTTCTAGGTAATGTGTTTTATTGGGAGGTAATCTAATTTCTTGGGACAGTAAGAAAAGGGATGTACTTGCTAGACCAAGAGTTGAAGCATAATACCAAATAATGACCCCACAGAGTGTGAACTCATATGGTTGTATCTACAACATAGTATTTACTACTCCGTAATTACTTAAGGGACTGTGAATGTTTCAAAATAACTCTATGAAATTAATTTATGATAATCAAGTGACGCTACACATTGAAATCATATATTTGATCGGGAGAAAGTTTTATCCAAGGAAGTCTTCATATCATTCCAAATCTAATGACCAATTTCTACGCATCTTCACATGTATACACATGTAATGCAACAAGCTTGGTGCCGATGACTGCTTTTCTCCTTTAGATGGAGGGGTTAGTTATTCACAACTTGTAAAATACTAATCTATTTATACTTGGGGCTTGAGAGTTTTCTTAGTGCATTTCTTTCTCATAGTTAAATGGATCATACCCACTTGAACTCTCTTGTGCTTTAGATCAAACTGCCGTGGATGTTGTTGTTAACGATGATGAAAACAAATGCCACAATAATTATAAGCTGTAAAATGGACTGAAGAATTAGCTTAATACTACGTATTTTAAAAGTTTATAGTAACTTACCTTTTCTTTTTTCCCATCTGCTTCACTAGTTGCATGCTCGCTTGCCTTCTTTGACTTCTTTCCTTTCTCTGCTCCCAGCCCTAGCTTATTCTTCTTTATAAGCGCTTCTACAGGCTCCAGCCTACCCTGTTAGCAGAAATACTATTTAGAAATTCTAATAATATCATCTTTCATTCGGCTGCAGCTATTAGCATGCATATATAGTAAACAATTTTTTGCCTCTATCCCATAGGTTGATGGAAACGGAAAAATTGGAAATGTGATCATTTGACTTTTCCAGAGAAACCACTAGAATGTCTGTCTTTGCATTCAAAGAAAGACCAAATTGTAAAACCGTTTCCAAACACTTTCCATCAAATAAAGAGAGCCTTCTAATTTTACATGCAGTGATAAGAAGATGATATATGTCATATGTATTTCTTTTATGTTTGATCTCATGATTTAGTAAGCATAGACCAGATATGAAAGTAAAATACGTTTACTCAAGTGAAAGTACTTAAGAACCAATGAACCAAGTAAAAAGGATGATCATAAAGTTTTCACACCCCTAGTTTCTGATGTCCCTGGAGTTTATGTAACTAACTACATCTCACAAAGAAGAGGGACTTTGGAAATTGGATTCATAATTGATTGGAAATTTTACAGAATGGCAGAACTTTATTTGCGTATGAGTCTTAAAGAGAGTTGAAGTAAAGAAAGACCATTTTCCAGAAACACGAATAAATATGAGAACCAGCAGGATAACAGAACCAGTAATGACTAATGACCTATCAGAAGTATGCCATCAAACTGTTTGTAAAGGTTGGTATGAGATCCAGCTCCACGTTCTCAAATCATTTGTGACATGGAGCACTTGGCAAGCTGGTGAAGAATTGTTTTGTTATGATCATGCAAGGAGTCAAATTGCCAATGTGGATCCTTATTCCTTATTCCTTAACCTCAACTCCTGAGTTATTCGTTTTAATGGGAATTGCACAAGTTACAACTTTTGTGCCTTTTTACTCCTATTAATTGGTCCAATGGTCCAACCTGCCGCTCTACACTATTTCCCTAATCGAAAGTCAATACCACCAACTAGGAAGGAGGCAGGGGGGAATCAAACATGTAGAAAATTACACTGATAGAATAGGATATGAAGAAGCTCATGGCAACAGTTTAATACACATTTCAAGAACTTAACTGGGAAAATTCATGGAAAAGACCAGAGGCAAATACTGTCAAGGCCTAGATGCGGAGCACGCACAAGAAAAATCCCAAAATGCCAAAGCATCAAGACGCGACTGCCAAAGCAAAAGTTATTACTTATTTGAATAAAAAATACATTGGATGATAATATGTAAATGAATTTGTAAGAAATGTCTCACAAAATATTTCCACAAAAATTTTTGCTTTTTTTTTATTAAATTTGTTATGTTTGATAAAAAACAGTTAAACATTCTTCAAGGAGACCATGAAAAGTCAACTGGACAAAAATATCAGGACTGAGTAAGCATAAGAGCTCCAGGCTATAACATATCGGATGTAAAACATAGAGCGGCTGTTTCTAGATGACCCCTAGTTCCAGGCTATAAACTATGTACAAAAAACAAACAATATAGTTCACCAAATTAACAACACGTTCAAAGGAAATACAAATAAAGATTGAAATATGGAATCTGTTAAGGCTAATTGAAAATCGATTAAGGATAGCTAGAAATATCAATCTAGATGGCAAGCCGGGATATTTCATGTTTGACTCAATCGCTTGAATTACTCCTCCAGAACGCCAATCTGAACATACAAACACACTTAATGGCAAGACTAAATTCCATAAGTACAGCAACTTAACACTCTCTTTTTTATTCAATAAACAGCAAATAGACAGCATAAAGTTTAAAATGTTTCTGAATCACAACATTTGTTACGAATATTTGACTTGTAATCAAGTATATGGGACTCTGCAGTTATAAAAAACTACATGGTAAAATGTATGATTCCCCAAGATATACTGTAGCTTGCAAGTTTCCATTCAAGATAATATTTATCCAAGAACCAATCAGAACATGCTAATGTGCTATGAAAGAATAATAACTGCAGCGCCAGATTTGAACCATGAATGTATTGCAATACAGAAATCCCCAAATTGATGACAATGTTTATAAAAAAAGGCCAAATATCAGCATGAATTTTTAAAATATATACAACACCTGTTCGGCAATCCCGAGTCCTGTCCCTTCTTTCCAACCATGCTTCTTTAGCAACTGAAAAACAAGGATCAACGGTAAGCAAAAAAACTGAAATTTTATACTTTCTTCGCCAAGAAAATTTTTTCTATTGATATCACCCAAATCCACGAGATGGAAAACTCCCCCATTTGGAAGGGTTGTGATATCAAATCAAATCCAAACCAAATTTAGACACCCACAAATGATTCTAATATAGATAGAATAGATATTAGAATTCATATATCTGTTACACGGCTTAAGCCCACCAAACAGACTCTTAGTCAAACCATGAAGGTTTGGGAACGTATCTTTGAATCTAGGTTGAGGAAGATGGGAAGTATTTCCATGAACCAGTTTGGCTTCATGTGAGTTCATTCACCTTTTTAGGGGTGTGATGGAGAAGTATAGGGACAAGAATAGGAGCCTACAAATGGTGTTTATTGATTTGGAGAAGCCGAAAAAGCATATTATAAGTTCCCAAGATCTTGTGGAGGTGCCTTGAGTCTTGAAGGATACGAGTTGTGTACATCCGTGCGATTAAAGATATGTATGTCAGGTGCAAGCCTGCAAGGATGAGGGTGAAGGCTGTTGGGGTGACTTTGACCCTTTCCTAGTAGAGATGGGGCTACACTAGGGGTCTGTCCTTAGTCATTTCATGTTTTCATTAGTGATGGATGTTCTCATACAACACATCCAGGGAGAGGAACCTTGGTGCATGCTATTTGCTAGTGACATCATTCTGATTGATGAGACATGAGAGAGACTCAATGATAAGCTAGAAGTGTGGCCTTGCCATGCCGGCCCTTGGAACCCAAAGGTATTTGATTGAGAAAGACTAAGACTGAGTATGTGGAATGCTGCATTAGTGGTTTGGAGTGAGTCGGTAGTAGAAGTGAGGATAGACCCACACCCAGACACCCAATGCCTAAAAGAGAAAAGTTTCAGTACATTGGTTCGTTGATTTAATCAAATGGGGAGTTGGATGGAATTTTGCATAAATGGCTGGGTGAGTGAGTGGATAGTGGAAATAAAGATTGACTCACACCTATTGCCTAAAAGAGACAAGTTTCGATACCTTGGTTCGAGAATGTTGAGGTGGATGTGTGGTGACACCAGTAAAGTATAAGTTACGAGAATCTAAACTTGAATGGTTTGGATATGTTAGGGCAAGGAGTTTCAAGGCCACTGTTAAAAGGTGTGAGGCTTATGGTTTTCAAAGCGAGAAGAGTAAGAGGTAGACCTATGTGGATTTAATTGAGTAGGAGTGTAGGTCTGAAGACTTCATGACCTCTTTGAGGATATGACCGTACATAGAAATACATGAAGATTTGGTTAAGTGATTGGATAGTCTTTTGGTTAAGTGATTGGATAGTCTTGAGAGCCTTAGATCATATTCGTGGCTAGAATGTGTATTCTTGTCATTGCCCATAACATGTGTTTGGATTGTGGCTCTTGTTCTTAGAGTGAGTAAGTGAACTTCTCTCTCTCATTACTCTTTACTTATACTTCCTTAGCTATTGTTTGGATGGTGAGAATTTAGTGGATAAGAATTGTAAGATGAGAAAACACAAAAATCAATGCAAATTCACTTGTTTGGATAGTGAGAAAATGGAGGGAGGACAGAAAACAAAGCATGAAACTATTCGAAAATTTTTCTCACCATAGATGATGAGAAAATGCGTGAAAGAGCATTTCTTCTATTTTTCCTTATCTTTTCCTATTTTCTCACCATTTCCTTATCAATTTCTATCAATCCAGATACCTAACTTTTTCTCTTCATTTTCTCAACATTTTCTTTCCTCTCATTTTCTCACCTCATCCAAACAAACCATTAATGCTTGCCTGTTTGTTTTAGTGAGATTTCTAGGGAACAACCTCTCTAGTTTCTAATAGGGTAAGGTCATCACACACTCCCCCTCTTTAGACCCTACTTTTGTAGAATTTTAATGGGTTGTTGTTTTTCCGTAGTTATTTTTGAATAAAGAGAAAAGGAGAGTTTATTTTAGGACATCATTCTATAAGTGATTAGTGAAAATAGGAAAAGGAAAAATTCTAGAGATACAAACTCAATGATTAAAAAATACAAAATTTTACTACTTGTGCACATCACCAATAGCCCAAAATGATTTAAGAAATATAAAAATAGAGCCTTAAATACACAAATGACAAGTTTGTGTACTTTGTAACCTTTGATTTTGGACAGAGGGAGCATTTAATTTAAACCTAGAGAGCAAATGGATGCAAATGTAAACGATGAAAGCTTGGAAAAATCATGCCGAAACAGGGGAATTTGAACCACGATCCTAAAGGGACAGAGAGATGCAAACCCGAAAACCAATATTAGAGGAATCGATAGGGGTCGAGATGGATGTATCCATGCCGGAACTCCTGCGGCTATAATGATCATTCATGGTAGAATTGGCACAGTTTTCTTCCATATTCATAGCGAGACGCGCATCCAGCCCCAGAGCCCTCGTAGAGGATCCGCCTTCGTCTCCGTACAACCACCCTGTACAAGTCGGAGCTGATGCGCCACCATAGCAACCCAACCCTGTAGCCGCTGGAGCTGCTGTGTCCTCGTAGCCACCGGAACCCATAGCAGTCAAACTATGGAGGCTTTCGCACTGGTTTCATTAATAACATCTATATTGCGAAGCAGGCGTGGAATTTGTTTTGAACCAATGGAACAATCTGAACATTTTGATTTGAGATGTACCTCGTTTATCCACTCTCTCTACACTGCCATTCTTATTTAATTTTTATTTATTTAATTTTTTTAAAGTTTTTACTCATTTATTTAATTTTTTTAAAGTTTTTACTCATTTATGTGGTAGAGGAGGGAGATAAATCTTTAATATGGTAAAAATGAACAGTGTCAAATTCCCGCCCAAAGCTACAGTTAAAATTGAACAGTGGTCTGTCTCATCGTTTGGAGAGAGCATGGGAAGAACAGTACTTCATTGATTAGAGAGATTGTATTGGAGAAGCTAAACCGCTCTTTTATTGGGTTCTCCGCTCATACTTTATTCTCCACCATTAGACCCGTCGAGAAGGAACCATGCTCTCTCTCTTCACAGCTCGCCGGAAACCATGCCCTGGGCTAGGGTTTTGAAATGCATGCTAAGACGAAGGTCTCCGCGCGTACAAAAGGAACCGTTCTCTCTTTGCTCCCTGCTTGCCGGAAACTATGCCATGGGCTAGGATTTTGCAGTGATTGGATCTTGCTATGACGAAGGTTGTGGCGAGTCGGGTATGTACACAGCTTTAATTTGAATTTTATTTTGATTTTCCATCCAAAAACAGCAAAGCAGGTAGGGTTTCGACCTGGGCAACAATGGACACTTTCTCTTCGAATAGAACAAGGCAAGATAAGGGGGAGCTTATTTTCTTGCTGCAATTTTTTTCTTGAATTAAATTTTTGATTTCCTCTTCTTAAATATGGATATTGAGAATCGTGGGTATAATATTTTTCTCATAGGGAACACACATCAACTATTGATTGGTTTCCAATTCAATCCATTGTATGCTTCTCAAAACAAGGAGATGGAGTAAATTATATTTTCCTCTCCCGTAGACTCAATGATGAAGAATATGGCGGCTAGATGGATCCCTACTTTTGTTGACACTCAACAGTCTCATGGTATTATTTTTAGTTAAATGTTATTCTATTTCTTGAAATAATAATTCACTTCTTTTAGTTTTTTGGATTCTAATATCATAAATAAAATGATAATTGTACTTTATGAGCTTTTGTTGTTAGGTACGGAGTATTTGAGTTCCTCGTCAAATATTGTTGAACACAACCTTTAATTTCTTTAGGAAGGGCCTTGAAAGGCCCATAATAAAAAAATCATGGGTCATATAGTTTCTGATCAATAGACAACATGAAAAAAGTAAGTAGTTCTAATTGTGATGCAGGTGATTTGTCAAATACCAAGCCCCTTCTAAGCATCATGGGTCTAATTTTAATATCTTTTTGATCAGGAGGGACACCATTACTCGCTTCAGAGATTTGCATATCTTCCTTTGTTTAAAAAATTTACTTCATTCTTATGTATTCTATTGCTTCTTTGCAAGGGTCGCAGATGTGCTTGCCAATACCTAATCTAGATGCTATATTGACATGTTTAAAACTAAAACTTTAGTATTAGCTTGAGTTTGATTCCGATGTTGGGATGCTTTGATTGGGGGATGCCTTTTGATTTGCTCTGGTATTTGCTTGCCTTTTATTGTGAATCAAGAAAATTAACTTCAAGAATGTCTATTTTTTTGAAATGAGCTTTGAACATTTGTTTGAAATGAGTTTTTTTATTATTACAGATTTGAGCAGTTTGTTTCAGCTGTAGTTCATTTGAACATTTGTTGAAAATGAGCTTTTTTTATTGTTACATATTTGAGTTCACCATCAAATATTGATACATCTTTAGAAGTTCAAGGAAGAACAAAGCAGCAATTGAAGGTAACATAATAGTTCACCAAACTTTTATCCAAATTGCTATATAAATATAGAGTATTATTACTACAAAGATCTTTCATCTACTTTGTAAATCTTACAAGCTAATACTTTATGGCAGATTTTGGTCTATAATAGTATTGCATATGCCTTTGCCTCTGTCAAGGATACAAGTACCCCTACAATGGTTAGTGTTGCTTTTTATTTTGTCTTTCTTTGGCCTATTATATTTTAAAGTCCAATATATTATATTTTAAAGTCCAATAATAACTTATGAACGTAGCAGATTCTTGGAAATTAAAGCTATATAATGAAATGAAGCCATTAGATTAGTTCATGTGGCCAATGAGTTTTTGACTTCTTCAATAAAAGGGTTTTGGAAATGAAGATATAGCTTGGAAAAGAATTGAGACTCATATGTGCAATTACAATGACACGATATTAGTCCTTAGCATTGTGTATGTATCATTGTGTATGTATGTATATATATGTATATTTAGACATATATGTGTGTGTTGGTAACAACTGTGGGTTCTTTACTTTTCAACAAGGGGTGTTAGGGTCTAACATATTTTAATTTCTGTTTAGATGGTCATTCTTACATGTGATTCGGTTAGTATATTTTAGCACCTTTAGCAGATGAGTTTTGGAGGTGAGCATTATCGAGAATATGGAAGAGGACAAGGCTTTCTAAATCTCTGAGCATCCGTCTTGCTGAATTTTGGATTCTACTTCATGTTAGAATTTTCTTTTTGTGGGGTTTGTAATTTCTATGCATTTAATACTAGATTTTTGAATTTTACTTTTCAAGGATGCCTTGGTAGCACCATATGATTATATCATTTTGCTCTATCACTTTTAGACTTTTTGCCCCCTTTTAATATAACTTTTTTTATTCTAAAGAAGAGAAAAGTTGTTTATATAATAGTTATAGACAATAGTGTTTATTATATTATAGCAAAACAATAAAATAAGTGACTTTATTGATGTATTGTTTTACCGTGTAGCACTTTTAGTTTGCTGCAAACCCCCAAGTCCAACACAACTAAAGGAAAGAGAACAATATTTAATACGTATAACATTTAAATGACACTTTGAAATGGATAGTGATGTACAACTTTCTTTTTACAATAGCATTTTTTTTAAAAAATATTCTATCTAATTTTTACCTTCTCACTTTGATTTTACACTTAAATTAAGGAAAGTAGAAAATATATTCTTTATCTTTTTTTCTATATGTTTATGATCTTATTCTTCAAATTTAGACTTTTTATATTTTATTCTAAATTGTATTTGTATAAGACCAATGAGAATTGTATATTAGGTTAACAATATTATTGGTGGCTAGGATTTGTTTTTTACATCTGGAACTAATAAATGCCTAAATTTCCCGCCACATTAAATCATACAGTGGTAGGGCAAGAAGGCTAAGTACGCACCCATTTTGAGGCATGAGCATATATAATTATATCGTGTAAAAGCATACACAATCAAAAGTTATTAAAATACTAAAATAATAAAGAAAGTGGTAATATACGGAGATAGGAAGTATATGTTTACATAAATTAATTTTTAGGAATAATAATGTATGGGATTTGAAATTTAGGAATAATTAATTTTATTTAAAGTAAAAATATTTATCTTCGGCATGATTAAAACATAAATATTCATAATGGTTTTTTATAGAGAAATTTACCTAAATAGGACTAAAACATAATAACTTTCCCAATATAAGACCATATGTTTTTATTTCTCAATGTAGGACTTTTGGTCATTATCTTGTAGTCATTATTCAAGTAAATGTCTATCATTACTGGACATTATTCTTCCCACTAGGTCATTATTAAGTCCTATTTAGGGAATAAAAAAATATAAGTCCTACATTGAGAAAGACATTATGTTTTAGTCCTATTTAGTGCAAATTTTACTTTTTTATATACTAAATAGTTAGCGCTTACTTAGGAGTTTACGAGTCTAACATTTATCTTTATACTATATTAACAAAGTAATTAATTTATATATGTTTGTTTTTCACAACATTTAAATATATATTATGATAATTTTTTTGTCCGTGCATCGTACGGGTAGAAACACTAGTAAGGACAAAAGGTGTACTTCTAACATTTTTCTTTTGATTTTTTTTGAAAAGCCAAAATCTAAAAGTTAAAGTTAGTCATTTTTGAACATGGTTGTTAGAATAATTGATTTTTCAATTATTTTTCTTGAAAAATATTTTATAATACATGAAAAAAATAAAAATAAAAGGGAAAAAATTCAAAATTAAAATAATAAAATTTTAAAATTATTTTTTTTTAAAAAAAAAAACTGAGAAAATTAAAAGTAAAAAATATTAAAAAATTTTATATTAATAATTTCTTATGAATTAAAAGTTTAATTTTTACATGTAAAAAATGAAAAAAAAACAAATTTTGTGTGTGTATGCTCTGTATATAAAAGAGGCCAAAGTGTTATTGTAAAGCACACCCGCTCTGTGCACGGTGCTTGTTTCAGGCTTTCAGCACAAAAGAAAGAGCTTGTTCTTCTTCTGTGGAGTTCGGCAGTGGGGCGGAGAGACGTACTCACAAGTCATAGACACTTTCGCAACCTCAAATCGACCAAATGGTACAGTTGCCGATCCTTCAGTATGAAGAAAAAATCATGGAGACAATTGAGAAAAATCCAGTCATGGTGCTTATTGGGGAGACGGGATCGGGGAAGAGTACCCAGCTCTCGCAGATGCTTTACCGAAGGGGATACACCAAAACCGGCATGGTCGCCGTCACCCAACCTCGACGGGTTGCCGCTGTTACAGTCTCCAGGTACTCTCCCATCTCCAAAACTGGTTACCTATTTATCAACACATTTCCGTTTGAAATTGTCCTGTTTCTTTCAATTCAGATTATGATAATTATGATTATAGTCAGTATCATTATTGTTTTTGCACCACGGTTCTATCCAAAACCGTGGTTTCTATCCCTAAACCTACAAAAACCCTGCCCCATCCCACCCCCGGGCAAGGGTGAGGTGCAGGGGCATGGGTGGGTGTTTTGGAGGGTTTGTGGAGTAGAAACCATCAATCTTACCAACGAAATATCTGGGTCATTCTTGGGCTATTTTTGGCGCGGGTCAAAAGGTCCTTGCTGTTGTTTTTGTTATTATTATTACAGTATTGTTATTACACTTAGGTTATTTTGACACTAGAGGGGTAGTGTTACATTACTCTATAATAGGGGATTGGTGCTCAGTTGGACTCGAAAGTGGTTCCTACTCCCTAAACCTGCACCCCAACCTTTGTCCCCTCCAGTGATGCGGGGTGGGGTGCAGGGCAGAAGGGGTTGGGGTGGGAACCACTTTTGGGTCCAATCAGGGTAGTGCCATAAAATGAGACTATCCTCCAGTGTCAAAGTAATTGAGGAATTGCTATTTTTTCACCAAGGAAACTGTTGACAATTGAGAATTCTTTTGATTCATATTCTTAGGGTGTAGCTTTCCCTAATTAGCCATGAAGCTTAGGTTTTTACTGGTTCCGTTTCTTTCTTAGAGTTTACCCTCCTATATGTGTGTGGTGTTGGTGGTGGTGGGTGGGTGGGGGGGGGGGTAGGTAAAACAAATATAGATGTCCATATAGCAAGGAACGTAACTACCATGGATAGTCAACTAGCCTACACATAATTGACTTTGGTTTAATATAGTGATTTATGCATTGCACGGATTGTGTATTTTTTAGGCAATATTTGAAATTGAGGTGAATTTAGTAGTCTGATACTATGATGTGGTTATCATTACGCATAAGCTTTATGTGCTTGGGCATATTTAGACATATAGGTGCGTATGAAATATCTACACCCAGTGAAGTTCAAACATAATATCTAAATTAGGTTTCGTTGTAATTCAGTAATTGTGAATAAATAAAATCAGAAGTTTCTTCAAAAGATTGCTAGGTTTTTATGTAATTGATTGCAATACCTGGTAGATTTTGTGAAACTAATAGAGTTTAATGTTCAACATTGTATATTTGTATATCTCCAACATGATTTAAATATTTATTTCACCCACAGACGGGTTGCAGAGGAGCTCAATGTTGAGCTTGGGGAGGAAGTTGGCTATGCTATCCGATTTGAAGATAGGACCTCTGAGAAGACTTTTATCAAGTAATTACTTTCGTTTTTGTTTTTCTAATTACATTAGTTTTGTTTGACCGATAGACTTCATTTGTAATAATTTGAAGCCTTTCGGCAATTACAGATATCTTACAGATGGTGTCCTTTTACGTGAAAGCTTAACAAATCCTGAGCTAAATCAATATTCAGTCATTATTCTGGATGAAGCTCATGAAAGAAGTTTGAATACGTAAGCATTTTAAATCAACTCTTCTATATTACTTATGTTCTGATTTGTTGAAGAATCTATGATACGCTTCATTGACCTTTTCAACCTCTCCATCCTAATAAATACTCCCTCCATCCCAAGTGTTTTGTCCACTTTTCCTTTTTGAGCCATCCCACTATATTTGTCCAGTTTCCTAATATGGTAAACTAAAATTGTCAAATGGACTTTTTTGCCCCTAATCTCGCTAACAACTGTTCAGTGCTCTGTGTACTGTGTATCCAGAATTCTGGATTAACACAACAGCCTCTGTATTTTCTTCCAACGCCATATCTCTCATCTCCCTTTCTCCTTTTATCTTCTTTCATCTTCAAAAAAAACAAAAAAAATGAAAAAACATGACAAAACCAGATAAAGAATACAAGGCGCCCTCCGTCCACCGATGAACACAGGTCTCGTTTTGAAGGTGCTTCTTCAACGATGGCAGTCCTTTCCAGTCTCCAGTAGTGACAATGTCCTCCCTACCTCATCCTCCTGGTGACAGATCTGATAGATTCGATCAATATGCAGGTGGAAATGAGGTTTCTATGTTTTATTCGTTTGCCTAAATTGGAAAAATTATACTCGGAGTAGAATTCATTTTTGATTCATGTGTACACTGACTTTGGTTTGGATTCTCCTTTTGATCTTTTTTTGGAAAAACCGTGTTCGATCTTTGTTGGCTTACAAATCAGAAAAAAGAATGAGTTGTTCTTGTTCTTTATAAATAAGGGCAAATTAGTCTTTTCCTCCCCTTATTGTTTATATTTTGGTATGCGAGCCAAAACGAAAGTGGATTAAAAGACTGGGACGGAGGTACTACATCCAAATTGCTTTTGGCTGTATATTAAGGAAACAAATGGTATTTTGTTTGTTTTCCATTTTTACTTTTTAAAATACTTACAAAAAGTTGCAATATTTCTAACTGCCAAATTAGAAAAATGGTAAATTAGTATAGCTAAATAGTTTCTTGAGTTAAAAAAAGGATAGAGGAACAAAAAGGAATGTGAATCTTACCAAATGGGAGGGAGGGAGTATCGTTATCTACACCACACATGCATGCACACAGTCATATACATGTAGATGCTGCCACCTAGGTGCTAGGCTTTACCTTGGCTGCCAGTATTATGCTCAGCCTGACCCGTCTAAGGACTAGACCCACACTTTCCTAGGGCCCGTGCTTCACTACTACACACACACATATGTGTGTGTATGTATATAGATTTTGGTTTTGGTGAGAATGAGATCTTAGGATAGAAATGAGAATGCATGTAGTGCTTTAGAATGTGAGATCTAAGGGTCATAAAAATATGAAAAATAAGAAAAAAACAGGAAAAATGTGGTAGCAATTTTATAATTAAATCAAACTTTGTAAAATGCACTACCTGCCTTGTGCTTTGTAAAACGCACCATGGCGAAGCTTTGTGAAATGCACCATGGCGAACAAAAATGCACCATTCTTATCTCAATCACCAAGGTCCATTCTCACACGAACCAGCCTATATATATATATATATGGATTGACTCCAGTGATATGACACCTTACGGTGAGATGACATGCTTCGGTCAGATGACACAAAGCTTACCACACTACACTACAAAGCTCACCAATGGACAATGCAAAGCTCACCTGCAAATAAAGCAAAGCTCACCACTTTGAACCCCAAAACTCACTTTTTTTTAATTTTGAAAATTAAAAAATTAATTTAAAATAAAATAGCAACACCGGTCAACGGAGGCAACATGCGGCGGAGCAGCGGCTGCGGCGACCGGCGACGGAGCAGCGGCGGTGGCCGGAGTCCGGAAGCGGCGACCGGAGACAGAGGTGGCGGCCGGTGACCGGAGGAGGCGGTGGCAGGCGGCGGTCAATGCTGGCAGTCAACGGGCAAAGTCTAGTCAGCACCCTTTCCTTTAATTTTATTTTTTCAAAAAAATTCAAAGTGTTGGAAAAATATAGTGAGCTTTGCCTTACAGTTTGGTGAGCTCTGTAGTTGTCTTTGGTGAGCTTTGCAGTGGCCAGTGGTGAGCTTTGCGTCATCTGACCGAAGCATGTCATCTCACCGTAATGTGTCATCTCACTGGAGTCAATCCCATATATATATATATATATATATATATATATATATATATATATATATATATATATATATATATATATATATATATATATAATCTGTGGTATTTTATGTATTTCTGTCCACAGGGACATACTCCTGGGATTGATGAGAAGATTGATTAAATTGCGCAGCTCTAACTTGAGAGTGTTGGTCACATCAGCTACTTTGGATGGTGAGAAAGTATCCAAATTTTTTGATGACTGTCCAGTGCTTAATGTTCCTGGACAACTATTTCCAGTTCAAATAGTACACAGTTCAGAGAAACCCAAGAACTATGTGGAGGCTTGTCTTAAAACTGCCATTGGTAAGAACAAAAATTCAACTTTTGTTATTTATTGGTTAAATACTTATTGGGTTCGTGTAATTGTTACTCTATTGCATTAATAGAATAATAGTTGAGAGATGAAGTTTACTATTTAAATAACTCATTAGCCTCATATTTTCTTCCTTTTTTGGTAAATCTATTGTTTGGGATTTAGGGGTACTATTCCCTTGATCCAATAAAAAGTCTTATTTCTAAACACATTTTTGTCCCAAAAAAGAGTCCAACTTGAAAAAAAGCTGTTTTTTAAATCATATATAGTGTTATTTAATGAAAAGTGTCACAAACACGTTGAATGTGCTAAATTTAGTCAACCAATAAAAAAAATCAAAAGTATATCTATAGTTGATGGTGCCCAATTACATTACTAGTATTATAAGGTTGTACATTTGTGTACATGGACTCTTAATAATATAGAAAGAAACTAAGAAAGATTAACTTTTTTCTCTGGCTAGTGTCTACAATGCCCAATTTGATGGTAATATGATGTTTCCTCTGACGATACAATATCGCTTGTAGATATACATTTAAAAGAACCAGAAGGTGATGTCTTAATATTTATGACTGGACAGGTGAGCTTGCTCTTCAACTACTGCCTTGTCTACTCGATGAATCTATGATGTTTTAATAAACTTTATGTGGCCCGTGATTATATTTCCCATTGATATGATGGGGTGCAATTTGTTCTAGGATGACATAAGCAAGTTGGTGTCTAAGTTGGAGGATAAAATTCGAAGCCTTGAAGAAGGTTCTTGTATGGATGCTATAGTGCTTCCCCTACATGGATCCTTGACACCTGAATTGCAGGCAAGTCTGTCTTCTATAACTCTATAAACTGTTTCCTTTGGTTTTCCATTAAATGACAGGAGTTCAGTGTATCCTTAAGCCAACCTCTAGGATTAGATTTTTTTTATCTTGTTTAGTTTGAATTTTACACTTCCAATTTAAGCACATAATGGACCTCCTCATTCATCTTCCTTAAGTATCAACGTGATTGGTTATGTTGGCTAACAAAATATAAACAATGATTCACTATTTTTAGGCTTTGGGGTATGATGGAATAAAGCAAAATGGCTCTTTAAATTGTCTGCGCTTTTTTCAATAGTAAAGTCGCATTTAGTCAATGAACATTTGATGCGCAATGGGTGGGTGCCTTTGAGGTAATGGTGTAATGTCGTTGTTGTAGCATTGTTCTTAAAGATGTTTGTTTGTAGTTGTCTAACATTAAGCAAAAGTTGAGATGTGTTTATTTCATAAACATGTTGAACATACACATCTGTGTGAGGGTGTACAGGGTGTACATACATACATACACTGGTACACATGCCCAAACATACTTACCCTATAATAAATTAACACTGCCTTCGAGGTGTAACATAGATATTAACCATTTCAAAAGCTGTTACATAAAGAATCAGCTATATCTTTGTTGAGTCCCTTTGTACATATATATGATAGCTGATCCAGCTTGCAGTTATGATGAAGTCATTCCTTACTAAATCTTCTCTTATGAAATGATAGTACACCTAAATAGATTTTGTTCTTTCATTATGAGGCTTATCAATGGCATAGTTGTCATGGTGTATGGCGACAATCATGGCAATGATCCAATTTCCTGTGGGAATGGTGCTAATATGGCGTCGCCAATGGCCATACGACACAATGAATTTAAATAAGTTCTCTATTATTGTTGAGGAAGACTTTGAACTTAACATTGAGGATCCTCTTGATAGTGAAATGAACGAGGATGACATGCCATTACTATGAGATTCCAATGATGCTCAAGAGCCTGATGATTAGATTTTCATAACCCAAATTTTGCATTGGACTTTTTTGATCAAGTTATTTTCAATTGAACTTTTGACCTTTTCTTATGTTGTTTAAATACCAACACTTTCAAATTTTCTGGTTGTGCTTTTATATACAAGAGTATTTATATCTAGTAGTTCGTTATTGTTTGAATTTATGAATATTTGTAAATTTAGTTGATTAGTTTTGTGTCATATGAATATATGATTATGCCATATTTTTGCCATCGCCTTGCTGATGCAGACACAAATTGCAACAAGGCACGAGTATATATTTCAGCATTCTTGCCACCAACACGCTTGCTTTGTGCACAACTTTCATGTTATAAAAGGATGGCATTTTGGCCAACGTGCCATGAACAAATGAAGCCATTAACTTGTAGTGAATTTCTTACAAGTTACAACTTACAATCAGTCATCTAGCCCAATCACCATCTGATTTTTTTTGATGCTGCATGCCCACGATCTCCCCAAGACCCTACTATCGTGGGATCTAACTTGGTTGTTGTTGCATGCCCACGATCCACATGCAAAATCTGTTTCCTAGTGCATTCTTATTCACAGTTCACATGCATTACAAATTCACTATACAGAGTGTTGTTTCCTATGTACCTATTGTAGGTGCCTAGCAGCTATGGTTTAAGGACTTGGTTCTCCTAGACTCTTAGCCTAAATTGAGCCACATTAGCATGCAATGGTTTCCCATTGATCTCCCAGATTCTGACAATCGTCCATTATGTTTCCAGTTTTTTTGGTAATACTCACAAAGTTTGATATTTCATTCACCATTTTTAAATTCTGATTACCACAATCACCCTTGTCTTTAATTTGACCGTTACCAGGACTCCCTTGTGCCACAAAATTTGATTGAACTTAAGTTGTTACAAGGCTCTACTTTGTATGGACATAACTTGAAGAGGGGTTGTATTTGATGTTTAGCTGATGATGGCTTTGCTGTTGGCTGTATACCTTTTGGTTGGTTTCAAAATTATTGTGCATTTCGGTTAAAAACTTGAAGAAAATGTTTGAAGAGATTTTTTTTGAAGAGACTTGTTGCAGTGCTGTTAAGCATAACATATTCTGAGTATGTTTGAATTGTTGACCTCTCTCATAGGCACTAAACTCCACATCACACTTTGTGCTCTCTCAGGAGAGGTCTCCATACTTGCACCCCTGTTTTCATTTTTGCCAAAATTGTAATGGGATACTTCCTCCATTCCTTTGAATTTACTACACTGACTGGTGTAACCACTAACCATATTTTTATACTAATGTATAAAAGTTCTATTATGTAAAATATTTTAAAATTTAGGAAAAATTACCCAAAATAATCCCAACTTTACTCGGTCTTTCAAAAATAGTCCCACCTTTCACTGTGATGCATAATAATTCCAACTTTACTGAAATTTGCCAGTTTTGGGTCGCCGTTAAGTTTCTAACGGAGGGATAACGGAAATGCCCGTTTTAGGCAACAAAATGAAAGTTGGGATTATTTTTGATGAATTTTTGTTTTTTAATTTTTTTTGAAATTTTTATTTAAATTTTTTGAATTACTTTCAACCTCCATTTCTTTTTCTTTTTTAAAGATTATTCTTACCTTAGAAAAAAAATAGATATAAAAAATAATGAAAATGAGAAAAATAACTAAAACCATACAAAATTAATCAAATAAATAATGTAATCAATAGAAATTAAACAGAAACTGGTAAGAAATAAAATAAATATATATGGAGTTGTGGGTTTAACATTTTACACACTATATGGAGTCTTAATGTACTACTTATTTTTTAAAAGAACAAGCCGTCCGGTAAAGTTGGAATTATTGTAGATAATTTTTTCTAAAAAATAAGAAGTGATATGTTAATACTTTGTATAATGCCTAAAATATTAAAACTCACCCGTGTATTTTTATTTTACTTTTTCCAATTTCAAGTTAGTTTCCATTGATTACCTTATTTATTTTATTATTTTTGTATCATTTTAGTTACATTTCTCATTTTTTCATTTTTTATATCTATTGTTTTTATTTTTTAAACTAAGACTAATCTTTAAAAAAGGAAAAAGAAATGATGATGGAGGTAGAAAGTAATTTAAAAAATTTAAATGAAAATTTCAAAAAAAATTAAAAAACAAAAATTCATAAAAAATAATCCCAACTTTCATTTTGTTGCCTAAAACGGGTATTTCCGTTAACCCTCCGTTAGAAACTTAACGGAGACCCAAAACTGGCAAATTTCATTAAAGTTGGGATTATTATGCATCACAGTGAAAGGTGGGATTATTTTTGAAAGACCGGGTAAAGTTGGGATTATTTTGAGTAATTTTTCCTAAAATTTATCTTAATGTTTTTCTCAAAATTTCATCTTTCTAGAGTTTTTACTGATACAAAATTAAATATAAAAATTGTCGAAGTGTGTTGACAAACATGAACGTCAAGCTATTGCAACTAAAAAAGAATGTAGATTGATACAACTTGGAGACATCATTGATGTACATCATCTTTGCTGGACTCCAGTGGTGTGATGTATGCCTCAAAGTATCAATTGAGCTACTGATTTAGGGGAGATACTGTGATTTCAAGTTGCATACATTGCATCAACCCTCTCAATTGAGCTACTGGAGTATGCCTCAAAGTCTCAATTGAGCTACAGTGTTTTTACTGATACACAATTAGATATAAAAATTGTTGAAGTCGTGTGTTGACAAACATGAAAGTCAAGCTATTGCAACTAAAAAAGAACGTAAGTTGATACAACTTGGAGACATCATCGGTGTACATCATCTTTGCTGGACTCCAGTGGTGTGATGTATGCCTCAAAGTTTCCCAATATGCCTTCTCATTGAGCTACTGATTTTGGGGAGATACTTGATTTCAAGTTGCATAGATGGCATCAACCCTCTCCCAATTTGCCTTCTCATTCTTCAGTATATCATCTATCTTCCTCTGTAGGTGGTAGGTGGCCAATACTCAATAACACGTCAACCCATAATAATTCATCAGTAGCAGACCAAATTGGACTTTGATTTTTGTTAAGTTTTTCGTTGATGCATATTTTTAAACAGACAAAAGTGGGATGAAATTTCCCAAAGCCAAGAGGCTTAATCCCTATGGTAGTAGGGTGTAAGACCCACCCTACAATGGCATAAGCCCTACTTTCGATCCACTGCACTATAGCCCCCATACCTTTTGTGACAATTGAACTTGATATTACATTGACGCTTCCTAATTGAACTTGGCTGGCCTCGTGGTTTAATCCTTAAAAGGCTTTTTACCTGGTATTATATAGATGCTTTGTGATTTACAAACATTCATTTTATGAATCATCACTCTTATTTTTGGTTGACTATATAGGTTCGAGTTTTCAACCGTCCACCTCCGAACTGCAGGCGGTTTATTGTTGCTACAAATATTGCTGAAACTTCTTTGACCGTTGATGGTGTTGTGTAAGATGGCTTGATTCACTTAAGCTTGAGTAGTGGTTTAACTTGTCATTGTGATATTATGATTTTGCAACTCATATAGATGCTACTGTCTTTTATGGAAAAATCAATAAGCTTCTATTGTGCACCATGTTATTTTGTTTTGTTTGCATCTAAAGCTAGATTTCTAAGTTAGATTTTGTAGGATATCTTGAATTGGTGATTGGTTCATAATGCATTTCTTTAACGTAAAAGTGTAATGCATTTGCCTCCAGAAAGTCCATATTGGTGAGTGCATGCAGTTTTTGTGCAGCTATGTCTATTGCCTAGTAGTTATAATAAGCTGAGGCGCCAAGCACTTCTATTTATTAAAGTTTCTGTGTATTAATTGTGTACTTGTAAAAGATTATCTCAGGACTTCACATCTCCTTCCTTCACTCTATTCAATTTTCACTTGACAATTTGTGCATGAACTCCTCTTTACTTTTTCTGAGTCATATTACCAGATGAGTTATATGATCTGCAATCCTAAAGCCTCACTCATGCATTTCTGATGGACAGTTAACTATTCTCACAGCTACGTTATTGACTCTGGGTATGTGAAGCAACGACAGTACAACCCATCAAGTGGCATGTATTCTCTAGATGTTGTTCAAATTAGCAAGTACGTCATACGTACTGTTTCTAATTGCATGTACTCATGTTAATTACTTTTTTTGGTATATGAGCATATAGTTTGTTTAAGAATGGAGGAAATTGAAAAAACAAGTTTGTGTATTTTCTGTTTATATCATGATTCTTTTTTGTATTGCTTTAAACATGCTGGTTTTAAATCATTCAGAATTTGGTGTTGCATGGTTTGTTGGTCTTGAAGTTTAAGAAAAGCGAGCTCTGGCGGGTGGCAAAAAAGAACCACCTTCCATGGCAGTGGGAATTATGAAGAGATAGAATAGTAGGAAGGAGGATAGTTGTACAATATCTAATGTTCTTGTGTACATAAATGAAGAATGCCATAACAATATATGGGAGAATCTAGCCTATGCTAGTCCTCAATCAAGGAGACTGGCTCCTTGAGACATTGACTTAAGGAGACAAACTCGCTAAAACGAGGGATTCAACAGTAACAGATTAACAACTGTCACATTAATATTTTCAACATTCACATTTCAATACTCCCCCCCCTCCCGCTCAAGTTGGATCATATAGGATATTAGGATTATTGATCATGTGAACCAACTTGGAAGATGCCAAAAACACTAAAGATCTTCAACACTTCCTAGGTCCTACCCCTTAAGCAAGAACTCCAAGAGTAGCAGGCAGAAAATCCAGAACTAGAGCTGCAGAAAACATTCCCATAGCAAAATACTGGATGGGATATCACATGGCTGCAATGGCACTTTGTGAGGCCTTTGAGAATTTAATCATCATAATGAAAATCACATGGCTTTTCAGCTCTTTGTGAGGCTCATCCTTTTTAAAGTTGGAGGGAATATCACATATCTCTGAAACACTTTGTGAGCTCTGTGAGAAAGACAGATAACTTAGGAGGGAATATCACGTGGTTCTAGACTAAGGAAATTTCATGCGTCTCCTTATAAGACAGTTCAATGGTGAGTTTGTGTCTGAATATCACCTAGCTTCTTATAAGTTATCAAGGCAGCTCAGTGGTGACTTGTAAGACTCCGGAAAGACAAAGTGGAAATGTGGAATATCAAAAGGGCTGCAACAACAATAGATCACCAAATTGAATAATTTGGGACTTTGGGTCAGTGTTGTTGGTAGTCTTGGTACCATACTCCCCTTGAACAACAAACACAGGAAGTTGCTCCATTAGGATTTGCCCAAAATCAAGGTTGATCTAGTAACAAGACTGCCCAGAAAAAATCAGTTAATGAAGCTCAAATGAAACAGCTGATCAATTGAGAACAAAGCGGAGAATTGCTTGAATCAAAGTCAAGATTTTGACTTAAAATCTGAGTGGCCCAAATTCTGATTAAGTCTCAACTTTAAATTATAAAAAAATTTGTCATGTGATATCTGAATTCAAACAGAAAGCTCAAAGTTATGTGTACGGCTCAAAATGCCAAAGTTCACGTTTACTTATCACTCGTTTAGTACAAACTTTTTGACTTTTCAAATGGTTCACTTTATAAAGAGGCAACTATATCTGGAGGCATGCTGCTATGCTGTTGTGAACAGTGCTGTTTATGCAAATTACTTCTAACACAGTAGGCCTGATTCATGAATGATGTGTGTAAAGAACCAAGAACTACACATCACGAATCACGAGATGGTGGGAAACCAAAGAAGCACTCTTTCATTTTCCATATGATGCTCGACAGAAACTGATACCTGCGGCTAAGGCAGCAGCTACACATGGAAGAAGAGAGTTGGTAGGAAGAGAACTCCCTATTGGATTTTATTTCAATACCAAAATAGCTTTGAATTAAGAACCATAATTCTATTTAAAGGACAAGTATTCTAATTAGAATAAGGATGTACTAGCATATTAAATAACATGAAGCTGCCAAATTATAATTTGAAGGCAAGGAATGTAGAATAATTAAATTTCCATAATTCCTGGTAAAGACGGGCTGTACCCCTTACTTATTTTATGTGGCTTGACCCTTGAGTGCATCAATGAACTTCTAGAAAGGAATCCAGAATTAGTATAGAGGCAGTGCTGATGAATTGGTACTGTTAGATCCTTCACTTAAGTTTATTGTACCTTATGGAGTGGAGACAGGTTTAAGTGAAAATATCTTACCCATTTGCTTTTTAATTTTTGAGAACTTCATTTTCAAGATTCCAAAAGAAGAGCCCATTCTGGAGGATGTTCGTGTGACTCGCTGACTCCCGCCGGAGTTGATTCTGATCACAGGTAGTGTCTCATGCGCTGGCGCTTGAAGCAGTAGAAGAGGACAACGGTAGTGCGTGAGGATTACATGCGCTGCTCTGATGGTGGCAAGAATCCTCAGAATGGGTTACAAGAGGGAGAGGATCAAGATGGTGGTAGACATTTTAAGTTTGTATAATCAGAGGGAGAACAGCCTGGAGGTCTAGTCATGACGATTATCCGGCCTGGTGATATATTTGAGAAAAGAACCACTATAAAGGAGTAGATCATCCTTGCAGATTTATTCACGCTAAGAAGAACATACACACCGGAGATGATGATATTCATACCAGAAATACAGGTGATCACACCAAGGATGATGACAACAACAACATTACCCTAGTGCCTCAAAGGCTTCCACACATTGCTGGGTAAGGAGGGGAGGGGGGAGGATGTACGCAGCTGGACCCCTATGTTTACAACATTGAGCGTCCAAAGTTGCATTGACTAATGGCTACTTCACTATAAAAGAAGCACACACAATTTAAAGAGCCATTTTGCTTTATTCCTAGTAAATCTTTGGCTCCATCGGAGATCATGACTCATGTGGTATTATGTTAACTTCTGTGAATTGGGCCTAACTCCAACTCAAAAAGATCCTTAAGACGTGGTGGTTTACGAGAGTGTATAAATGAAACTTTGATCTCATAATCCATCAATGTTGGATACTTAACACGCCCCTTGGCCTGAAAAGGTTTGGACAATAAACGGTTAGACCACAAAATGTGTAAAGAACAAACAGGCAGATCCCAAACTGTAGAAAATACAAGTGGTTGGACTCAGGAAAAAGATCAAGAGGTGGTCCCATAACTCATTAAGGTGGGATACATAACGAAAGAAAGAACAATGGATAGAAGGAACGTAGTCATGTATTATCTAATGTTACTGTGTATATTATCTCAACAATATATAGAGAGAATCTAGCCTACATTATTCCTCAATGATGGAAACCAGCTCCTTGTATTAAGGAGACTAGCTCATTTAAATAAGGGAGTCAACATTAACAACTCTCATATCTGAACATTTGTGTTGGTTGTAGAGTTATGGAATCCACATCTTGTAGGGGTCTGATAGCTATGAAAGATGCATGTACTTTGCAGCATTATTTTATTGACAATGTTCTAAGAACATTACGGGCTATAGGAGGAGAAAGGAGCAAAGTCTCTGAAGACCACAAAGAGGATGAATGAATGGGTTTTTGTTTAGTCCTCACCCTAGATCTTTCCTAATTTTGATTCTAATTGTAGTAATTTTATCCCCTTATATATTTAAAAGTATAAAGTCTTCAATACAGACTTGTAAAATATTGTACACTAAATTGATAATCTAGCATTTAGTAGCCAAGGTCCCTGGATGCATCTTGTTACCTCTCTTTTAAGAGCTCCCAATTTGAAATGCACAATGCAGTATTTTTTACTCCGTAAAACGCAGTGCAAGTGTGCAACTCGATTTGCATTGCCAAATTTTTTAGTGTTTGTGCAAAATAAATCGCATAGTATTTTTATGTAATCCATATTGTATCTTCCATGTCTACCAGAAAAAGCCCTCTACAATTGAACTCTGAAATCTGTGAAATGGAAAAAAGATTAACTCGTCTATGAATGCAGGGAAACAAATATTTTTCTAATGAAGTGTTCTTTGCAACACATTTCTTTCCAAAATCTTACTCTTTGGATTAATAAAGTTACGACTAACATTAGATTTTTAATTTTCTGATTGGAATCCCACAGAGTGCAAGCCAATCAACGTGCAGGTCGAGCTGGCAGAACACGACCTGGAAGGTGCTACCGTCTATATTCTTCTATTATTTACCAGGATGATTTTTTGGATGCTACAGTACCTGAAATACAGAGGTCTTCTCTTGCGGGAGCTGTTCTGTATTTGAAATCTTTAGATCTTCCTGATTTGGACATTCTAAATTTTGATTTCCTTGACCCTCCATCAGGTATGGTTTGCATCTCTTTTCGATGCCCTAACATTCTTTTAATCTGATTCTCATCATTTTATGATAAAATGATGTTGTTGACATAGCTGTGAAAGGGGCATTAGGCTTATGGCATGACACCTTTTCGACTGTAAGGCGATTTGTAACAGATGTCTGCGCGTAGGCACAATTCAACATCTTGTGCGGATGTGGCGGGGGGCAAATTAGGCGCGGGCCTCACTTGCACCCAACTTTATTATTTAAGAAAATTCAGTACAGCCCTTTTAGGGTTAAATGTACAGACCTGTTCTTCAACTTTTAGTATAGCATATCACTCAAAGATCTCTGCACCTCCACTTTTTTAAACCTTCACAAACCTCTCATGTTTGATGATAATGAGGTTGAGGATGAACTGAGAGGATAATATGATGAAGATGAAGTATTCGAGGATGGCGGGGATGATAATTTTGATGATGAAGAGGATGGTGATTTTGATGCTTGATTAGTTATAAATGGAGTAGTTCTTTATGCTAGTATGTTTGAAGTAGGTACTTGGGTAGTTTTGTATAACTTTGGTTTATTTTGAAAATTTGCAGTTGGAGTTAACTTGATACTTTGAACTTTATAAATCACTTGTTCTTTAGGCTTTATTTTTAATGCGGGTGATGTTCTGTGTTTGTATGATTTGTGTTATAAAGAAAAAAAAGTTAAGAGTGAAGAACTGTGAAGCAAAGTTTTTTTAAACCAAGCACAATATTATTAATCAAGCCAACTAAACTCAGTACATGGAAACACCAACACAACTGTAATGCACCAACAAAAACAGCTACCAAAACTACCACCTCTGCCACCACTTATGTGTATTGATGTGAAACATACGTATTAACATGAAACATAATTTTCTTTGCAAAGTTAAGCATTCAAGCTGTTGAAGTTCGAGCCAAGTTACACTTGTAGTGAATTTCTACTTTTGAGTTCAAAGTGTCCTACAATTCGAGTGGAGTTGAAGTTCATTTCAGTTTAAATTTTTTAAATTCAAGTTCAATGTCAAGGTTAAAGGACAAACTAAGTGTTGAAGTCATGTTACATTTTGTCATCCTTGTAATGCATAGCAAGCTTGAAGCATTTCTATATGCTTCAGCTTGATGGGAGTGTTGATGTGTAAGGAACAGTAAGGTGTTGTAAAAAAACAGCAGTAAATTAGCTATTTTATAACTGAAAGCAGTGGTGCATTCATGTTTTACACCATACACAACACATTGTAAGTTTTTAAATTCTATACAAGAGTTTATTGTTATTTGACATCGTGTCGTGAGCTATTTAAGTTAAAGAGTCATATTAATATAATGAGAAGGGGTAATGTTTTTCTAGCATTGCTATTTAACAACTTGTGGGACTTGACCGGGACTGTTGTTGTTGTACTACTCAACAGTTGTATGTGTGATATGGTTCACTTCTGATTTATTGCAGTTGAGTCTTTAGAAGATGCCTTGAGGCAACTATATCTGATTGATGCTATTGATGAGAATGGTGCAATTACCTGTCTTGGAAGAACCATGGCTGGTAAAATCCATACCTGAGTTGAATGCTTGAATTATATGCTATGTATTAGTCTAGTGAAATGTGAAATAAATTCTTTTGGATGATAAGAATTAAAAATCCCTCACAAAGTTCATCGGGTTTGTTGCACTGCTGTTGCTAACACTCATGTTTTTGTGCAGAGCTTCCACTAGAACCTTCTCTGTCGAGGACCTTAATAGAGGCCAATGATTTGGGTTGCTTATCTCAAGCTTTGACAGTTGCTGCTATGCTATCTGCTGAAACAACTTTGCTCCATGGGTCTAGGTAGATTTTGTGGCATTTTTGTACTAGTGGCCTTTTGCCCGATTTGATCCTCAATGATCATCCTGCAATTGTAGGGATGTTAGCATGTTTGGATTGGATGTGACAAATAAGTTGGATTTCAAACGACTTTTTTCCAAAGTGGGTAAAGAATATGTGATACATACTTGAATGAAAATATATTATTAGCCACAACTCTGCAATAATGCATGCTAGTGGGACTGGTCAGATGATGACTTTACAACTGGATATATTGAAACAATGAGATAATGTGTTGCTTAATGAGTCAAGTTGACCAAAAACCTTAGTACTGTATCACATTTGGACACTGGCCATCTTCTCTTTGGTTGTGTTGATCAAAGTTAGAATTTTGCTGAGATATGCTGTGGTGATTATGAGTTCTTTCACCATTTCATATGAGTGTTTGGTCCATATATGTCTCAGATGTTGGCTATACATACTCTTCTTTTCATTTTCTAAGTATTGTGATCAGCAGGAATGCTATTGAAAAGAAGAGGAAACAAACTCCGTCAAACCTTCCTGATGGATGTGGGTGGGGTGATCATTTCCAGCTACTTCAGATTTATGAGCTATGGGATCAAAATGATTACAGCACAGAATGGTGTAATGAAAATAACTTGCAGGTATAAGGCATTAGCTGTTCTTCTCCATTAATTGGCTGAAGTCTTGTAACCTTTTAATAGTTTTTATTGTTGAACTTGCATGGTAGGTAAGGGGAATGATGTTTGTAAAAAATGTAAGGAAACAGCTCACTCAAATAATGCAGAAAATAACCAAAGGTAAACTTTATCTTAACCTAGTTTCAGTCATTTGGTTCTTGATGATTCTATGATTTCTTGTGTGAACGTTTAGATATCACCTTATTGATGCCTCAATATGAAGTATTCCCTCCTTGATTTAATTGTCCACTTTCTTATTTTTGTTTGTTCGGAATTGGTGGTCCATTTTCCATGTTCAATAAAAGGATTGTGATGGATTGTCTAAAAAAAGACCTGCCCATTGTTGACATAAATGAGTGGCAAACTCGTTCGAAGGATTTGTTTCACATTTTTCTCATTTCTTAAATACCGTAGTATGAGATTTTTTAGGAAGTGGACAACAAAATTTGGACGGAAGAAGTATAATTTTATCTTGGCCCGCTCTATATTTTGAATTCATTCTAAAACCGATGAGTTTAAACTTCATGAACTTGACTTCGGATCTAATCTTCAATTGGTCAAGGATTTTCCCTCCAAAGTATATTTTTATCTTGGTTGAGGATTTTCCCTCCAAACTGAAATGCCTCTCCATTCAGTGCTTTCATTTTCTTCATCTTTGCAACTTTTTCTGTTTGAAGCATATGCACAAATAGGACATTTTCCTCCCCTCATCCCAAATTGTGATATATCTGGTATTGAAAATAGCACATAATGTTAATCACACGTAAAAACAAAGAGTTCTTGTTAGTGTATATTTATTTATATAGCATTATGAAAATGAGAAAGGTGCTCTTCTTATATTTGCTGAAGTATCAAAATTCTCACACGCGCAACATATTACCTTTATTTGTAGAGTCTTTGGTTGGCCAAACAAGTAGAAGGCATAAAGAAAGTCAACGAGACTACAAAAATTTGCGGAAAGCTTTGTGTGCAGGCTATGCTAATCAGCTTGCAGAGCGGATGATTCATCATAACGGCTATCGAACTATTGGATTCAAGCCCCAGCTGGTTCAGGTTTGCTTGTAGTTGAATCTCTACTTATTCCATTGTAATACGTGGAGATGCACAAGTATTCTTTTAAACTAGGGATATGTGTCATACGTACTTGTTCTATATGTAACATTTAACCTAATATTATGATTAAACCAGTGCACATGATTTTATATGCTTACTCGGTATTGAAGGGAGATGATGGATCTTTTTATGTCATGCAGGTCCATCCATCTTCAGTCATGAAGGGAGATGATGATGGGATGCTCCCAAATTATGTGGTGTATCACGAGTTAATATCTACAACGCGTCCCTACATGCGCAATGTGTGTGCAGTTGAGATGCCATGGGTCGTTCCCGTCTTGGAAAGACTTGAGAAACTAAATGTCAAAAAACTGAGGTGATTCAAATGACACAAATGCCCCCACTGGTTCCATAAAGGCTAAGACTGTTCATATTTATTTTGATTATTGAGCCTTCTGTTGGTTGTCTTTGCAGTGGTGGCATCCTCCATCAGCAGGAAGAGAGAATCGAAGAAATAAACTCGAATTTAGAGAAGAAAGATGCAGCGGCCCATGAGGTTTCCCCAGAAGAACTTGGCAGCAGGATTGAAGCTGCTAGGGCACGCTTTCTGGCTCGCAAGGCTCAGAAGTAAGCTGGATTTGTGTGAAAATTACACTCCGTACATACATACGTATATACGGATTATTAGCCAAATTCCATGCTGAAGCAAGGCATGATTGTGTTTCTTCAAAAGATTGTCTGGGCAAGCATTGCATTATTAAAGGAGGAGGTGGGAACCCAAATGAGCCATTTTGCTCAAATTCAGTTAGTTTGAGAGAGTTGGTCTTGTTCAAAAAGTTGGAGGATCGTTGAGAATACACAGTACAGACCGGAGAACACTGTTTGTGATGCTCGAGTTATTTTAACCCATATCTTTTGCTCCATTTTCTTATTTGGCAAAAAATTACACCAAAGTGACTAATTTACTCTTCCTTTTTCTTCTTTCTTTTCTGCGGGGAGTACTAATTTTCGAGTAATTGAATATTTATTTTCGAGTAACTATAACTGAAAAATCATATTTCTAAAATTTAGTCATGCTCGAAAATGAGTATTCAGTTACTCGAAAATGAGTATTTAATTACTCGAAAATGAATATTCATGCAGATATACATGAAATATCGTACATGCGAATGTATGGTATAGGCACTCTGGGGTCCCTCCTGGATGTAGTTGCTGCTTTTTTCTTCATGTCTGGTGTCCATTCAAGATGTGGATAGAAATTAGTGGAGGAGCCCCTAAGGGATGTGGTTCATCCTTTTTTTAGAGTTCTTTTGATGCGATTATATCACGCTATCAAATCTGGTTTTAGGATTCGTTTTGTTCAACTTATTTTTCCGAATAAGTAGCATGCTGCCAGGGGAGGGAGGGGACTGAGGTTTCGTAAGGGAGTTAGTAGGAGTAAAAACTATCAATTTTACCAAATGAACATCATAGGTATTCTAAAATGCCTGAGCCATTCTTGAGTTTTTTCTAAGGTCAAAAGAACTTTGTCGATAATAATGTTGTTGTTGTTGTTGTTGTTATGTCTAATAGAAATAAAGCAACATGTCGTTTTAAATTATCTGTGCTCCTTTTAATAATGAAGTGGTAGCAAGTCAATGTAATTTTTGAGACTCATCATGGGTCGTCAGGTAAGAGAGTTGTTCTATGTTTTAAACATAAGACCCTAATATTATAAGAGTTACAATGTCAATATATAATACTCCCTCTGTCTAAAAAAGGATAATACTCTTCACTATTCAAAATTTATAGAAGCTTTTGTTCATTTGTGCGTTTTGATTGATTATTTGATAAAATAAAATATTCTTGTCACTTATTGTTTTGTAAAAGTTTTGACGTAGTTTTATTTTTTTATTTCTATACCAATCTTTAAATATAATGAATTAAAAAATTTGAATTATCACTTCGTTTTGTGTAACATGTGAAAACTTTTAAGAGGAATGCATTACTAAAAAATGTTGTGAAATATCAATATACAATGTCATATCTTCACAATGCAAAGATCCATTTTGGTATTAAACGTATGTCACTCTTATTTTGAATGATTTCTTAAGTTATCTTTTTTATAGAACTTTTGTTGTGCTTCGGTTTGTTTGTTTCTCGTTCTTCTAAAGTTCTTACTCATACTATTGCTAGTAGGAGTGAGTCCTTAGTGTGGCTCATGGGAGGTTATTCTTCTAAATTGTATTTTAGATTTGGTTATGCATTTATAATGAAAGTTTTTCTCTTAAAAAAATATGTTGCACTAGTCAAACAAAAATTAGAACCACAAAGACATTATTCATATTGTCCCTTCATTGCATTGGTCTAACTTCCTTTGTTGCACCATTCATTCTTTCTCAACAAATATTATTGTATCTTCCCCACTTGTTTTAAATGGACAAACAAAACGCCCTTTCTCTCTCATTTCCTCCGGAAGAAAAGGAATTGAAAATTGTCAAAGGTATCAAAGGTATTAAGCACTTTCATTCATCTTCTCAATTTCTTCTTCATCATATTGTAATATTTGTTTTCTTCTAGTTCTAATTGGAGTTCTCTTAACCCTGAAATAAGAAAGACAAAGAAAGGCTGTATTGCAAGATATTTTTTGCGTCAAACGAATGAAAAACCCATTTTAAAATGTCATATGCTTATATTAGAAAAATCAAATGGTTCGGAAACAAGAACATAAAGTTTAAGAATTCATTAAGGCCATGTGTTATGGCGGGATTGATGTGGAGTGATAAAAAATACTCCCTCCGTCTCAAATTATAATGTCTGTTTACTATTCACAGGGTCAAACTTCATTCACTTTCTTTCTCTATTTTCGTTAGCAATTTGATAAAATTAAATTTTATTGCCACTACTAGTTTTGTAAATCTTTTGATGTAGTTTTTTAATATGTAATTTTTATTTTTTAATTCTATACCATTTGTCATATAAAATGGTTTGAAAATAATTTCAGTCAAACATCCTAAACCGAAACAGGCGTTATAAATTGGGACGGAGTTAGTATGTGTTATGGTGAGTGCGAAAGAATATGGTGAGGTGTGAATGTGTGTTATGAAAGAGAGAGGTGACAGAAGGTGGTGTTATGGAAGAGGGGCCGTCATCGGAAGAGGGGCGACGTCCGATCAGTCATTGGACGACGTGTTATGGAAGAGGGGCGTGACGGAGGGTGGTGGAGCCCCTCCTCACGCCCTATAACACATAGCAAAGTAAACACATTATAATTCTTATATGTAACACGTATGTTGACAAGAACTTCTCTCCTGACTTGAGTGGTAGCAAGCCCACTCCCCATGATTCACAGGGAAGTTCATCCAAGTTCGAGTCCAGCGGAGTCGGGAACATTGGCTCTTTGTGCGTCATTAAGTTAAGAATAGTAGTATGAACATATTCTACATTGTAAGAGAGTCAATAATATGTTGACGTTTATGCATTAATTATCATCATCTTGTACTGCAGTAATTGATTTGGGAGGGCGGAAAATGTCACGGTGTGGGCTGTTAAGGGCATGCGGGGCATCACTCATAGCAATAGCCCACATTTTGTGCACCAGACTGCAACATGTCAGAGGCCCAATAGGGTCCATGTCCAATAAACTCTTCTCCTTTTCTTCTAATTTCCCCTCCTCCAAACACCTCCACCGCCTGCCGCCGCCACCACAGCGGCGGCAATGGCTCTCGGTCCTCCTGACATTCGCGGACGAATGCATCTTAAAGTCGGAGAGGATTGCGGAGGCGGCGTTTCCCCGATCGGCGCGGCTGTTCGATTCGATCCACGGCCTCGCCCACGGCCTTCCGGCGGCCTTTGAAGACGCGCTGGACAGGTTTCCCCTTCAGGATCTGTTCGGCGTGTCTTCGAAGATCGGGTGGCTGAATCTGGTTGTATCGGCGGCGCTCAGCCATTATTGGGGCGGCGGGAGCAGCAGAAGTATGAAAGAGAAGGAGATAAGTGTGGATGTGGGGTGGTGCAAGAAGAAGAAGAAGAAGAAGAAATGTGATGATAATGAAGAAGATGATGATGAAGAAGAAGACGCCTCATTTCCCGCTCTCCAATGCACAAAACGCGCCAAGCAGCCACAAGGCACGGAGGAGAGCCTGCAAGGTGAGCATGCTGCTTTAATTTCCCATGTCTCTCATCCTAATTTCTTACATTAAAAAACGGGTGTACTTTTGATTTTTTTAGTTAAAATTGTCATGTTTGGACTCTAAATTAAATAAAAATTATATGATACAAAAATAGTTTTATAAAATTTATCATATAGAATATTTTCAAAACATTATTTTATCTAATTAATATACAATATATATTTTATTTAATTGAAGGTCAAAGGTTGAAAACGGTTGACTGAAAAAGTCAAAATTGAATAATTATTTTGAGACGAAGGTAGTAATAAAACATAGGTCTTTTTCCAATATAGTAATTTAAAACTTTTTATTTTTTAAATAGTATTTGAATAATGTCCATTGGCGGTAACAATGCTCAGTAACGGTAGACATTTACTTTGAACAACGTCCAGTGGCGGTGGATATTTACTTGAACAATGTCCATTAGACATTGAACAGTGATTCTACATCGGAGAATAAGAACATATGGTGCTACATTGAGAAACTCACTATATTTTAGTAGTATATAGATAAAATTTTCAAATATTAAATAAAGTAATAGTCATTTCGCCCCTTGTTTTTTCATATCTCTCATCCTAAACTTTCACATTAAAAATCTATCTAAATAAGACTAGAAGTCTAAAAGAGAGAATACATATCAAAATACGGAGTAAGACCATGTGTTATATTTCTTAAATAGGAGCGTTGGCATTGGGAGATGCCTGCAATTTAGTTTTGTATGTTGGCATCTCATAGTATTTTTTTGGCATTATTTGACATTATATGTTATATTTTGGCAAAAAATCATAATTTTCAAGAGCAGCTCACGAAGCTGATAATACAGAAGAAGACGTGTCAGGTGGAGGAAGAGGGACTACTACAAAGTGCACCTATAAGGATGTTCTCACCAAGGGGGTGGTGGTGATAGACGATGAGGAAGAAGAAGAACAAGGCACCGAGGAGTTATTAGATCATTTTTAAATGAAGAAAAAACGTTTTGATCATCCAGAAGAAGAGTGTTTTTCTGAAGAAGGAGACAACAATAATGGGGGAGGAGATTTTGTTTCAGGTGAGAAAAGGGTCAAGAATGGGGAAGGAAAAGGAAAGGGGGAGAAAGACCAAATCCTGCAACTATTTGATTCCAGCTGGAGTCTGTGCTAATTACTGTAATCAACTCAAGATTCAACAAGTTAACCTTGATTATATATACTAGGTTTCCGATTTGTATCGGACTAATTTAAGCATCTCAAACCTCATCACAAGAATTAGGATAAATATGAGATTCTTGTATGTTGTATATTACTCCCTCCGTCCCTCATAGATCTTCTCAATAGCTTTTTTTTGTCTACAATAGATCTTCTCATTTCATTTTTTAACAATTAAAATACTATAACTATCCTCACTTACTTTATTTATTACACCTCACCGACCTCATTTAATACACTCCACTCATATTTCATTAAGGGTATTATGGTAAACTTTCACCTTTTTTTAACTTTCCTTAAAAACTACCAAAAGTCAAAATAAGAACATCAACTATACAATATTGTACACTATTTTAGATTTAGGCAAGGTCACCCTTTCATCCTCAAAATCGGCCAATGGTTAACCAAAAAAGAGGTAAATTTAGCTTTAATCACAAATTAGCGACAAAGAATGGAGCCTGCACCTGGCAATAGTTGTTTCCCAGTTTAATTGCTAGGAATTAGACTCTCAAGCATCCCTTGCCCTTAAGTATATACAAAGTAGATTTTATGCTTTTTCATTTTTGTACTAAAGTATATAATTTTTTTGTATTATAAACTTTAATGTGTTTTATAGAAATCTTGTTGTGTACAGTACCTAGTAAGGTGTGTATTTTTTGGGATTTCGGACTTCACATGTAAGATTATCAAAACAATAACAATTCAATGTAAGATTATACTACCTGTCTTAGTATTAGTCAAATTTTGACTTTTTCAGTTAACTATTTTCCACCATTAACTTATAATTAAATAAAATATACGGAGTATATTGTATATTAATTAGATAAAATAATATTTTGAAAATATTTGATATAATAAATTCAATAAACTATTTTTTGTATCAATATCTATTTTTATTTAATTTGAAATCAAAGTTTATCAATTTTGACTTAAAAAAAGTCAAAAGTGAACAAATAATCTGAGACTATGTTTATCAATTTCGACTTCAGATATTTGAGGGAGTATGTTACTTCCACCATTTAAATATTATCTTCTAATTTGACCTTATTTTGTCAAAGTTTGTAAACCAGAGCAGAGAAGTTTCTTAGTGCAATCGACTTAAAGAGCTAATGGAAAGTTTTTTTACGAGTATATAAAATGCACAATGTTTGCAGCATAATCTTGAACTGAATTTTCACAATCTCTAAATTACAAAATTGACGAGCACGAAATCCTATACAATCCGGTCGTTTTTTCATTCCCGGAAGATTTGAGTTCGAAATGTCATTTTGTTTCCTTTTCTCTGGTGTTCACAAAACTGCTAATGACTTTCAATTACTAGCCCCCTTTGCTTACCGAGGCAGACACAGACTGAGAAGGAGAAGGAGAAGAAGGAGACAGAGCCGCCTCAGGAGATGAGAGAGTTTTGGAATTGACATTGCTGTCCTCAATGTCTTTTCTGGCAGTTCTACTGTCATGAAGTTTCATATTTTTCTTCTTTGGCTTAGAGAACATATAGGCTGCCATTGTAAAAAAAACATACTTCATGTTATGCATGAACAATGAAATAGAAATTATAGCCAAAGCAGTAAAAATGTGTCAGATTAATGATTCGGAACATAGGAAAAAACAGATATGACAATAATGAATTAGGTATAAATTTATAAAGTTACATAAAAATTTGAGACCATGGGGGAAAATGGCATTTTTCCTTCAAATTATGACACCAGTTTTTCCCTTGATTAAACATATACTCAATGCATTTGGGGATTGAACCTTTTGCAGATCTCTGTTGCAGTTTGTCAAATTAGAAGGCAGTTGGGTTTAATAGCAAATTTCATATCAATTTTCCTTCCACTATAAGTCAACATTCAAAATCTTAAAGAAAGAAATATTTTCAAAAAACAAAAATCTATCGTCTTTTGAAGGAACCATATAGCCCATGTTATTGTTATCTTTACTTCTTTAAATTCTTTACGTGCTTATTAGTTTTAACGTATTGGGGTTTGAATCTGTTGGGGATGTCAAATAGATGAAACATAGGCCAAATAGTAAAGTACTCCATACATGTATCAAATTTTCTTCCGTTGTACGGAGTAACTTGTAAGTATACTTTCAAATGTCAATTTAAATTAGACTATTAGAACAAATAATTATAATGAAAAGTATATACATATAAAGAACAATGTGAGAAATAAAAGCAATTCGAGAGCTAAAATGACTCCAGAAAAAACTACTGAAATTAGTTAAACAATTGTCTAGGCAAAGTACATGTCAAACAGATTATACACATAATTGAAAAGCTAAAATTATTTTGTCAAAGCGAAAAAGAAAGAGACCCAATTTGAGAACCCAAGAATAGTTGATCAAAGAAATAAGATATGAGATTGAACTGACCTGCAAGACCAAGATTAGACACAACAAGAACACGCCAAACCCCCACAAGCCGTTTCATTTTTGATTCCATTTGGAGATATATATATCTGGCCATATTATTAAAGAGCACATAATTCAAAAGTTAAATTTGATGCCGCATATGTCTAAGTGCTTAAAAGTTACAGGTTCATAACATTATTTTCACTGTGCCTGGCTAAAAATTGTTTACTGTTTTTGAACTCTCTAATTTTTTTCAAACACTGTTTTAATGGAGCAATGTAAGCATCAATACAGAGGTTGAATCGTAGAGATAATCTGAGTCATAGACTAATTCCTAACATGTTTTAACAACAATCATCCCAATTTTCTAATGAATGAACAAAAAATAGAACACCAATTTAGAAACCCAATTGAAACTTCAGTACGCAAACAGACAGCATTTCCATGGTTAAACTTTAGGCCAGAACAATTAATTTCTTTTCTTAACTGACCAAACTAGAACTAAGACATTTTCTGAACTACTTTGTACTGGTTTCTTCTTTAATTAATAACACCGGTTCAGGCAATTCTTGAACAGCTGGTTTCTTCATTATTGAAAGTGGTTTCAATATTAATAAAACTGGTTTCTGTATTACCTACATTTACTGTTAACAGAATATATGTGGGTTTTACTAACACAGTAACATGGCAAATTGATCTGTTTCTGCACTAACCTGTACGAACATCTTTTAAAACCTCTTTTTTTAAAAAAAAATAGTAGTCATGAAGATAACTGAAACCCAAAAAACAAGAGATAGACTACAATGCACTCATATAATGCAAATTTTTAAAATAGATCAAATAAATGCTTTGATTATCAATCACATAAGAAGGTCCATGTGCAACTTAGGTACACATGAGAATTTTCCAGAAAGCAACAATTGCTAGCACCTTAAAACAACAAGAATGACATCAGAAAGCCCCAAATTAAAAATCTCATATTGGAGAAAATACTGCAGCAAATGAATCAACCAATTAACCGAAACATCACAGAAATTTAATGAATTAGCATATTCTGAAATTTCATCAACCCTTACTATACTAGATCCCAGTTGAATAAAAAACTTCCGATGGAGAATAAAATTTGACGAAAAAATAGGCTAACCTTGACCAAAGATTTTATGGAAATCTGTGCCCCCGGGAAAGTGAAAGAAAATCTGACAGGGAGACACAAAGGGTGAACTCCAAATGGAAAATAGAGGAATGGCCGAATAGGGATTTGGATTTATAAAACTCGACTAGAAATCATCATTTGAGTACTAATTAATTTGACATTATGTGTTGTTATTTTATACCAATTAGTACTCGAATGATGATTTCTAGTCAGGTTTTATAAATCCAAATCCCTATTCAATCATTCCTCCGTTTTCCATTTGAAGTTCACCCTCTCCGTTTTCCCGGTGGCTTAAACTCTTTTGTTTGTTCAAGCTTCAGAAAATAGGCACCTTAGTCTGGTTAAGTTATTTTTGCAAAATCATGGCAGTGAATCAAAAGCAAAGATCAATTAAATCACAGAAGCAGCCTGGGCTAAACCCATTCAGTGCCAACCTGATTACAACCAACTGTTTGGCACTCAAGTCTACCTCCCTTAGCAATGATGTGCTCTCGGGAGGCTAGATTGACATGGAGAGGTTTATAGAGTTCGAATGCCAATAGGCATTTGAACTAAATGATCTATTCCAAATAATATTTATGCCAATCCGAACACACAAAGCCAAAAAAAATTAAGCACATAAATAACAACACTAGCTTTAACACATGCCAATCACTCACAAATAACCTAACCAAACCAAGGGCGATGGTCACTCTTCACTCATTTTCATAATATACAAACAAATTATCAATCGAAATCTGCATATACAACAATTCAAATGGGATATTGGCACATTCAGTTCGCAAGCACACAAATATGGCAGAATCGCACACACAACACCAAATAGCAACACCCAACCATGATTCAATAGACCAAACACAAACGAAACTAAAATTCACAAAACAATCTCAGATTTCAAGCTGTAAACAAAAGATCTTAGTATAAAACTATTAAATCTAAGGTTTAGAGTTCGTCACCATGGAAGTTCCGATCTAGATTGAGCTTGGAATCGGCCGTCCTCTCTCCGATGGTGGCGCGAGCGTGTTGAGACTCACAGGATGAAGGCGTTAACCGGCAAGAAACCTCTCTCTCGTAGCTGTTCTCGGTGGTCTGTATCCTTAGAAAATTATATTCCCTATAGATTAACTTTTTTTTGCAAAATTTAGTCATATTTTATCACATTTTGTTTTGTAAAATTTTAATGTAATTTTAAATAACATAATTTATATTTTTTATGATATGTTAATTTGTAAATAAAATAATTTTTTTAAAAATAAAATTTTATACGTTGTTTAAAAAGAAAGTTAATTATTGGGCGAAAAGAGCATGAAGTAATAGTGTACGGAGTAATTGAAATATACTCGCTCTATCGTATAACTTTCTTTTTAGCTAAAATATAAATCATTTTCCAATGTAAAACTTAAATTTTTTTCATTCCTTAAATAATATTTAATAATGTTCAGTGGGAGAAATAATATTCAGTGATGTTGAACATTTACTTGAATAATGACTAATGAATAATGATCAATACACTGTGAAATAAAACTATATAGTCCTATATTTAATAAAGTCATTATGTTTTAGTCCTATTTGGGTAAATTTGCTTCTTTTTTATTTAACATTTCACGATCTCTAATAATCTGTATGATATTTTGACCATTAATACTTCTTTTTGTATATATAAACATAGTTTATAAATATATAATTTTTCAAAATTATGTTTCAAAATAAATTTATTGATATTAAATTTATATACAAATAAAACTTATATTCTTTTAATTTGTAATCAAAATTTATAAACACTGGCCATAAAAGTCAAAATAGTACCCCTTCCGTCTCTAAAAAGATTGTCGTAGTTTGATTTTTTTGTCATATTATGGCTATCTTTGACCGCAAATTATAGAAAAAATTTATTTAGTTATAATGTAAATGTAGTAAAATTGAGTTTATAATAAAATATAGTTTTAAAATATCAAATTTTAATAATATTTAATTATTTTAAGCTTTATTTAATTCATGGTTAAATGGTGCCACAATTTGACCAAAAAAATCAAATTAAGATAATATTTTAAGAACAGAGGGGGGTATAAGACTTAAAGAAAGTACGAAATACTCGGATTGTATTTAAAATGGGGTTTGACCCCTCTATTTTAGAAGCATACCCCGTATCAGTGAGGCGTAGCTCAGCGGTTGGCATAGGAGTGCTATAAGGAAAAGATCTCGAATTCAAAGCCTAGCGGTTGTGAGGAAAGGCAACCATGCAAAGTATGGAACTTCTGCAAGTATCAGGCGCAAAACTCTACTTTTTTGTCAACTGACTGAAATTATAGCTCAATTTACTTTGTCTCAGTTAACTGTTCGACTTGTGCTGAGAGACACTCAAGATGTGGTGTCATCCTTTTTTTAGATGCATACTCCATAATTCCATATTGCATTTCTAATGAATTGAGTCACAGTCCAAACTGGACATAGCCAAAACTATTTTTATGTGAAAAAATGTCTAAAACTGTCATTTCAAAGATAAAACATATGTCAAGTCTTAAAAGGGTGTAGAAAATTGATAAGTTAATACTATGATGATATTTTAAATGATAAATACTTATAATAGACTACTAAAATGTGAAGAAAAAATATATAATTTAAGAAACTCAACAAACACTCACACTTAACTCTTGGCTGCCCTCAGCCAAGTCGTTAAAAGAACAATGAAAGATGTAATTTCGAAATTGATCAAAATCCAAATCCTCCCATAATGTACATGTTTCACTCTTCTCTTTTTACCAAAAAATTGTCACTTTGAACACTTCTTTGCCCTCAACCATCCAAAAAATAATTTATTTTGAAGAGTGATTATTACATGATCTTAAAATTCATATTTAAATTCATATTTTAAATTGGCTTGTATGTGAATATTTTCTTTTTTGCAAAAGACTCATTTCTTTTATGCTACAAAGACTTTAAGGTTCATAAAATAAGAATGATCTTAGGTCCATAGAAAAATTTAATTTTTGAAATGGTATTATCATATATTTTAAAAGAACTAGCTTATACAATTGATTTTTAACAATCCTTTTTGAGAAGATAAATTAAGAGCAAATTATCATAATTAAGATCCTATTGTTTTGAGTTGAAAAAATTAACTTTTAACTTCTTACAGGTTCTTCCAACAACAATTTAAAAAATTATTTATACATGATTAATATAAAATAACATTATACATGTAAAGTAATTACACATCGCCTCAAACACAGACTATGATAAATTCTTTTTTAATCCAAAATTAGTATTTTCTTATATATTTTTTTGGCTGATCATTTAATTGAGTGATTTTTTTAACACTTAATATATAAACTTTATTTATGTACACTTAATATATAAATTTTTTTGGCTGATCATTTAATTTATGTAACTTTATTTGGCTGATCATGTATTATCTTAATATATAAATTTTATTTTTTTTAATTGTACACCATTTTTCATATAAAATGATTTAAAAATATTTCAATCAAATGTCGTTAACCAAAACAAGTACTCCCTCCGTCCTATATTTAATTTCCCGTTTTGACTTGAGCTCATTTTTAAGAAAGAGTAAAAATTCCTTTGACTTTCCAAAATTGCCCCTCAACCCTTCTACTTCGCTGCCCGTGATTATTGACGTGAGCTTGCCTAACTCCAACAAAAATCATCCAACCACCACAAGCATATATATCCAACAAATTCAAGCTTTTGGAACAGAATCGATTCATCTGTTCTGAAATAAATTTTTTTTGCATATATATACGCTTCATGTATATCAGTAGATACNCTAGAGACAAAGGTGCAGTGCAACGAAAACAAAATCAAAGACAAAAAAATGAAATCTCGTGAAGGGAAAGGAAATTCGAATCGAAAAGGAAAACTGAGATTTGAGATAAGAAAGAGAAGGTCGCTGGGATGAGATTATGAGAAGTAGAAGTTAGAATTAAGAAGAAATTAAAGAAAACGGATGAGGTTGGGGTTAAAGGAGGACGTGAGAATTAGGAAGGAAAAAAGAAAGGATAGGTTAGAGGGTATTTTTGTCATTTGATATAATAGAAGTTGCCATTTTAAGTAATGGGAAGATAATTTTAGGACAGCCTGAAAAGGAAAGTGAGAAGTTAAATTTAGGACGGAGGGAGTAATATAAATTGGGACAAATATAGTAAAAGTAAGGAAGCAAAGAACGCACACAACTATAAAAGTAAAGTAAAAGGTTAACTATCTTAAACCAAAGGAGCTAGAGAGACTAGCACAGAGTCTCACAGAGCTAACTAGTTATCAAATCCTAGATCTCTCCAGACATTTCTAAGGTCATACCCTCATTTAGGACTAAATAACCTAGATACATAACCAATTTTAAAACAAAAACATAACATAATTTAAAATTAAAACATAAACTTGACATCGGCCTCAAATTTTTTCCTTCCCCTTTCGCTTTGCTTTGGCCTTGGCTTTTGTCCCTATCCATCAGCCTCGGTAGCTTGTCCTCAAACAATTCATCATTCTCTTCCACCTCGTTTAGATCAATATAGCAATGTCGTCCAACCCTTGACTATGAAAATATAATGTGAAAAAAACATTAGTAGCATAAACTAACAACACATGATGTCAAATTTCTAAAATCTTACTATGCCAACACTTAGGAAATAAAACAAAAAAGGTCTTATTTTAATATAAGTTCCTTGTTTTATATACTTGTCTAAGTAGATTTTTTACCACCACCCAAAAAAAGTACTCCCTCCGTCCAAAAAAAAAATTCTCACTTTTCTTGTTGGTTCGTCCTAAAACTTTAACTCTCCAAATTGAATACTCGTAGCATATACATAAAATAAGATTGCAGATGTTGTGCAACTGTAAAAGCCATGGACACTCACTCAGCTTTGCTTGACGATATTATTTATGCTGGGAAATCTCGAAAACCACCGCGAATATCCTGCGTGTAAAGAAACAATAAGCCACCATGAGTCAGAGATTCTAGAATCAGTTTTTTTTGTAGGCAATCCAAGAATTCAAGTCTGGAACTGGCAGTTACCAGATTCAATGATCTCATAAAGGTCCATCTCGGACTGGACATCGCTAGGCTTGTCCTGCAATGAGGGAAACTTGTAGTAAGTAATTAACCCAGAATAATCCTACAGATTGGGGTTTGGGAGCAATTGGGAACAGATATCTTTTTTTTACCTGTCTGACAGATGCAAGACTTCTTGCTATGAGGCGATAAACACGGTTGCAAGTGGCTCTATCAAGCCCATAGTTCAGAAGAGCATCTTCTGATGTGTGGTCGAATAACAATGAAGATATGCTTGAAGCCATCATGATTACAGAGAGGTCGTGAGAGTTCTCTGCATCAAAGAAGCCCAAACTTAAAGAGAGTAAACAAAAATATGACTAGTTGGAAATTTTTGTTCTTTTGCTCGAATTAAGTTTTTAAAAAAGAAAAAGACAAGATGCTAATCAAGAAGTCCACAACTGTGGTTGTAATAAGTCATGAACTCAACAATTATATGCTCGAAATAATTTGAATCGACTGGGGAACTTCTAAGAGATTTAGAGCCTACCTGCCCAATATGTCAATGCTTTCAGAAGGTGAACAAAGGACGACACGTCCAATGAAAGTTGTAGCTCCTGCCTCTGTTTAAAAAAAAAGCATTGTTACTAATAAGTTGTGTGGCATCCATGGACGAGGGGAAAACTACCTTTGTGAGAAGGTTGAGGACTGTATCACAAGCCAAGAAGATGCCACTACTATCCTCCCTAGTATCGGCATCCTGACTGACCAGTTTTACAAGGCAATCCACAACCTACACAGAACGTATTGATGCAAGAAAACCCCCATAAGTAATGTTACCAAAATAGAACACACAACAATCATAGAAGAAAGGAACATTTGAGCAATAAGATGGAAAAACACAAGATCAAAGGTCCAGCAAATCTAATGCACTAAAAAAGTGGGGAAATGTGAAATTGATCGGTTAAAGAGCTATAGTCACTTACAGCTTTATGTCCTCCCGAAGAAACTAAATGTTTGCATCCTTCAGAATTCATTGTGATTTGACAGAGCAGAGGCATCAAAAAGCAGACAGAGGAAAAGGGGCTGCCAAATTAGGGGGAAAGAGTTCAGCAATATTAACCGCCAGTAAAAAGTACCTGAAAAATACACTCCTAACATAAACATACCTTGGCTCATCTTCGCCTTCCACTGAGAGCATATAAGGTAGAAGCTCTGTCACCTTATCTTTCCATGCAATGGGTGTTTCCGCAAGATAACTATCAAAACAAAGAAAGATGATATTAGACCGACTAATGCTGAGAAGATAAAATGTATTCACAAATTGCTACCACAGGGGTTTATTGAACGCCACAAGACCGCAGTATTTACTCATGTAAGTTGCAGTATCTACCGTAAAAGTTAAAACTACATGTTTAAGAAAGGTAAATGGCCTAAATGATATGATACATTTTAGAAAAACAAAACTAATTGTTCAAGGTCAAAGTATTATTTTTAGAGGCTGTTTTTTTACTGCTTACTAGGAAGGTAAACTTTAAATCAACTCTAACTTTTCTTCAGCCAGTCACACCTCACAAGTTCACTAGTGCAAAAGTAAATTCAAATTTATTTATTCTCCCTTGTTTCCTTTCTAATCCATTTACCTATTCACAATTGTAATATACATATTGACTAGAGAAGAAGACTGGATTCGGGTCTTCCGAAATTTTTCCACTCAACCAACTGGAAAATGACACTTATGGTAGCCAGGACCATGTTGTGAGCATCAATCACTTGTGAAAAACAATCAGAAAAGAGATCTGAAATTTGTATTCATCCATTAAACATTGATGAGCAAAGAACATGAATGATAAAAAAAAGTGCAGAAATGAAGGTGTGCATTGTGATATACCTCCCAACAACCCGCACAGATGCTAATAGATCGTCTCCTTTCTTTTGACCATGATCCTGCATCAGGCAAGGTTCAAATAAGAGCTGAGCTCATATTTGAACTTAAAAGAAGGAATAAAGCACTTCCTCGATAGAAATATTACCCTAGCATCTTGTAAATACTCCAAAACCAAATTAATTGTCTCATTCAGCCCATTGATGACTTTCATAAAGGTATTATCTTCAATAAGATTTCCTGCAAACCATTTGCATGTAACATTCCAAGTCAATAAAATTCCCCAAATATCATTTACAGTGATGACAAACACAGAATACTGAAACAAGAATTGAATTGTAAGTAGCTCATGCAGGTCATAAAAATCATGCAGAAAACAAAGAAATACATCACTGGAAGTCGAACTTCACTTGAAAGAAATGTCTTAGTAGTTAACTGGCTGAGTCTATTTAAGCCTAGTTATGTTACTCAATAATAGTTCATCCCGCCACCCCCACCAAAACTGTTATTAATCAGAAGAGCATGTGCAACACAAAATGCAGATATTGCACTATCATTTCTAGATGAAGCTGAAAAAAATTTTATTTTCTGGAAAGCAAGTCAATAACATGTACCCCAAAGTATATGAGTAAATGAAAACAGTATATGCAAGAATTTCTAAAGTTCAGACATTAACATGCAAAGTAATGGTCAATAGCATGTATAATAGTATCTGGGAATAATATATGAAATGATAAGTTCTAATAAAGATCTCTTTTTATGTGGATAATTACTAACATAACAGCTTGATAAACTTCCAACACTTTTGGGGTAATTAAATACCTCCTTCTTCGCTGATGACTGAAACTAGTTTAATAATCTTTTCAACCAAGGCAAAAGCAACAGCAAGATGTCGACTCTTCAAGAAAATACTTTCAATGGTGGGTGATGTATTATTTGAAGCTTCATATTTGAGGTAAGCAATATCATTCAGCAGAACAGCAATTTCAACACGGGAAGACTCCAAGACTAGTAGAAGACACCTATAGCAAAAAAATACAGTAATACAGTAAAAAAATAAGCATGCAACCACTTAAATTACCTGCCAGCTGGAACTTGTTTAGAGACCCAAATTACCTGTCAGCAGGAACTTGTTCTTGCAACTCAGGCAATTTAACTGGACTAAGCAGCCATCGCTCACTGGTTATTGAAATAGCAAACTCAGCTAAAACTAGGGCATGCAGTTTCTCAGCAGGAGCTACACAGATATGAAAAGGAAGAAGAGCATTAGTGTTTTCATAGACTGTTTTACCAAAATTAATTCTTAATATTAAAAAGCATGTAATTCATTTGCTTCAAGTGGATGATGTAGATCTATCAATGATATGTAATGCTAAACAAACTTTTTTATCATGTACAAGCCAAGAGACATATTGTAAAAATTCTGGTCAACTTTATTTACAATTTATTTCAATGCCTATAAAGGCAAAGGTCTACATCCAGATGAAATTATGGCCTTTATTTCATATTTTCATAGCCACGGGGCTCATGCAAAATGAGTTCAAATTTTGCACTAGAACCAACAAAATGACACCGTTGCAGTTAATTCCAATTCGGCAATTCCAATATTTAAAGCACAAGAACCTCAACTGGAATATCTTCATTTCTCATTTTAGGGGTTCTTATTAGCTTTGGACAAAGCAGGTTACCACCAAGTACTGGTTAAAAGAGTCGGTCATTGAAAGCTGAGGCACTAGGATATGAAAAAGAAAAACTACTCTTCCACATTAATGTGAGGCATACAGTTTACATACCTACCCTGTTCTGTAGGATTGCGACAATACCGATGAACAGATAATCTAACCAATCCTTGGTTGGCAATTGACCAAGTGCCCCCTTGAGTGGTCCCTAGAAATTTTCAAAAGCCTTAATTTCAATTTGAAAGGAAAGATAGTTAGATAACATAAAATATAGAGCACATATCAACAGATTAATGACCACGTGAGAAAGAAGCGAGAACATAAACGTTGTTCTGCAGAAAAGAACATCAATCTGGGCAATAAGGTATCAAATGAGAAAATTTGTATATGCGAAAAATTAGGCAATTCAAGCCTTCACATCCAATAGGAAAAAGATCTTCTTCAAAGTTGGAGGGATCATAAAATGATTAAAAAATAATCCAAAGCATTGAGAATCGTTCTGCAGACTTGATCAATACTTACTGAATAGTCTGATGAGAAAATTGTAGAAAGCAGATGAAGCGCATCAAATTTCAAAGCGCTGTGCAGCATAGCAAATTGTCTCATTAACGCAACCACCTGNCTACTATGGCTAATGATCAAAAAATTACCATCAGAAAAAGTAGATATTTGGGAAGCTAATACCCTGATTCCTTGGTATTGAAACAGAGTTTTGACCCCGTCTTCATTTGCAGAAGATGTTAAGTACAAAAACTCATAGCAGTCTTCAAGGACAGGTGAAACTGATCTGGCCACAAAGAAAGCAGAAACAAGTAATAAGAAAATGTCTCCCCTAAAAAAAGTAATAAGAAAATGTCAACAGAAAGCGCGAAAGGAAATGCAAATTTGCAACACATCTCCGAGTTATTTGTAACCACTCAATATACTCGTCCATTTATTATAATCTAATAACACTATAACAGAATACATAGAATATTCTTTAGCCATCTCGTAAAAACTATTTCAAGGCTCAAAACTCACTCTCTAGACATGACCTCCAATATGACAGGAATTCTGGAGACCATCTCTTTTGAAGAAGCAATATCTGGAACACGGCAAAGTGTGGCAAGGACTGCTACAGCCAACCGCAAATACGCGTCGCGATTGTCACTTTCACAGCCACTTGGTCTGTTTTTCATCCCTGACGACAGAGGACCATAAAATCATCAGGTACAAGGAAACCCTTCCAGAACTGTAGAACTTACAACAGACACTTGGGCAATGTACAACAACAACAACAACCCATTTGAATCCCACTACAGTAGGGTGGGGAGGGTGTGTGTACGCAGACCTTGCCCCTACTCGGGAGTAGGGAGGCTGTTTCCAAGAGACCCCCGGCTCAACCTGCACAAAAATATGGAAGGGAACACAGTATAACACGGGTAAAGAGCCAAGTACAAACACTTGGGCAATGTGCAAAAAATAAAACATGAGTAACATCAAACATCTCATATGGTTTATCAATTACAAACTAAAGAAGAATTGAATAAACAAACCCAACCGCAGGGCTAAATTAAAAGGGCAGCAATTCAAACTAAACGCAATCATCATAAGAGAGACAGAGCCTCGAGAAATTTACCAGTCCTCAGAAGACGATCAAGAAACTGAGACCCAAGAGCTTCGTAAACCCTAAGAATGGAAGCATTGTCATCGCCTTTGCAGAACTTGGTGACCAAAAGCAGACCGGCCAGCCGTTGCTCGTCTCTCTCGCCTTTCAACAAATTCAGGCAAGCTTCAAGCGAGGAGGAAGACTGCTCTTGCTGCGACTGGAAAAACAAGAAACAGGGGTTCCCCCAAACAAAGACATCTTGAATTGCAACAATTTGTAACACCCAAGAAAATAAGCCAGCGGGGGGTTGAGAAATTTATCACTGCAATAACAAGAGCGGTTACCATTGGGATTTGAGACAAGGTTTCGGGAGCGCTATGTCCAAAGAGACTTGAGCTGAGGAAGAAATGGTTCTGGTACTCCACTCCTGAAACAAAAGAATTAGACTTCATTGTGCAGGAACTTCATGATGAAATTTTGTCCCTTGCCAACAACAGGGAAGCCTCCCGACGATTCTGAATTTGAAGTACTCATAAGATCAACTTCAAGGCATATGCTAAATTTTGGGAAACTAAAATGCTATTTTAGCTTCTGTAAAAAATGCTATTTTAACTTCCCAATTTAGCATTCCACTTTTTCACCACTTCTTCGGGCCTGTTTGGGATTAGCGTTAGAGGTTAGCGTTTTGAAAAGGCTATCTACGGACAACTTTAGTGTTAGCGTTTTCCAAGTTAATCTGCACCGTTAAAACTTTATCCAAAACGCTAATGCAGATCAAAAACATTATTCCCAAACGGGCCCTTCATCCATATCATTTATTTTTAATTTTTAAAATATTTTATTACATTAAACTAATTGATTTTATACATATACTTGATTCATATTTTCATTATTTATTAATATTTATGTATGGAGTAAATAATATGATAAAAATATTTTTATTATTAGTATAATATTTCTATTTGAAATTATCTTTATACTCATAGTACATTTTAGAAAAAAAATCCTAGGTAATTGGTTTTGGGATAAGATTTGCTATCCTATTGTTGGTGCTTGCTGCCATGTGGTTGAAGAAGTATAAAATGCTAAACAACAGTAACCATGCGAAGAGGAAGGAGAAGTGTCATAAATGCAAAGCCAAAAAATGAAAAAAAATAGAAGCCGCGCAATACCATTTATAATTGGATGATGAAAAGTCAATTATAGAAGGCCCTTTATTGTTCGGAGTGTCCTTTGGAGCCCTTGTTTTGCAAAAGTAAAGTGCAAATCTTCTATTTTTGGCTTATGGCATTCCCATTAAAATTTCCCTAGTGTTCTAGTCTTTTTTATTACAGCGCAGTGTTCTAGTCTTATACACTAACTTTGTAGGCACATGTCATGGGGAATTAAGAGTTTGTTCCCTTCAACTTATTCTTGTCGGAATCAAATCAGATCACGTCGCAAACAACTCTAAATATAACTGCAATAATATCAGATCTGATTAGAACAAATGAGGTAAGTTGAATAGAACAAGCCCTGAGACTATATTTCTTTGTGGACAAGGTAATAAGCAAATCTCTAATGCCCACTTTTTTTCTTTCAAAAAATAAAAATGATTTTGACATGGGAAAATCCACAAAAAGTAGTGTAGACTTTAGGTCTATCAAAATTCAAAGAAGCACTCAACTTTATAAGGTGTCTTTTATTTCCTAAAATGCTTTCTGACCAAGTTCACAAAAAAAAAATTGGTTTTGACTCTTAAGAGTAAAAAGTCTAGGTTAATTAGGTTTGGTTTTAGATTAAATAAAATCTTAGTTTTGGAAAAGTCAATAGTTTATTCCTTTCGTTCCAGAAGGTTTGTCCGTTTTCATTTTGGAACACATACCTAGAAGAGGAGAATATGAAGGTGTTAAGGCTTGTCGCGAGCCTAACAAATTAGTATCTAAGTACCAACTAATACTATACTAAATTAAAAGGGTGGCATAATCACTCGCAAGTAAGGTCATTCTTCCACAGGGAGAGTATAATATTTGTTTTGAGCTAGACTGTTCAATGAACTCACACACATGAAGAATTTGTTTGGAAACGAAGTGAAAATAAAGAAGAGCTAAAGTAAACTATTTCAGACTCCACAAGATCAACAAAGTAAACTAAATTGGATTTGAAACTTCATTTCAAAAAAGCACCTTGGTTTGGTTTACAGGTTTGCAAAATCATGACACTTTATCATTAGCAAAGTCAGTTTAATTCAAAGAAGCCGTTGGGGCTGATGAACGAAATTCATCCACAAATTCATACAAAGTAGTCTAACTTGAACATAGCCCCAAACACTAAACCCTACCTCTCTTAACAACCCCATGAACTGCCAAGAGATTTAGTTAAGAGAGGAGCATTAAACCTAGAAATATGCTACCCAAAATCCCACTACACTCCCACTAGCGAGAGCATATAATGAAGACAATATTTAAATGGCCAACAGACACAAATCAATGTAACTGATAACAACCTGCTATTTTGGCACTTGGGTCTGCCTCCCCTAGAAATGAAGCACTATCAGGATTTAGACTACCACTATTGTGCAGGGTCATAGAGTTCAAACAGGTATTTAAACTAAATAATTTGTTCCGAATAAGATTCAAACACATCGGAACACACAACTTTTCAAATCAAACACATTGATAGCATTATTACACTTCAAAAGAATCAACATCTACAAATCTCATAAACCTAACTAAGGCACTGCAAATTACTCACTCATGTTCATATTAAGCCAGCGATAATTATTAACCCAAATCTCAACAAATAATAATTCGAAATCAGATAATAGTAAATTCTATTACAAACCAACACAAAAAAGTTATACCAACCAATTCGAGTCCCGTGCCGGAAAATGTTGTTTGCTGCCGTTATTCACCGTTGGCCTGAGACTCGCCGGATTCTCCTCGGCCTCCTCGATGGTCGCGACTCAGTTCCTTGACTCCTGCTGCGTCTGAATGTCAATTGTCGAAGGAGGAATATCGGGAATAACAGCCTTCCTCCTCTGGAATTTTAGAAGAAGAAGAAAGAAGATTCCGGGAGCCAAATGTTGTAGATGAAGGTAAAAATCGAAGGAGGGATCTCAGATCTGTTTCATCTTAGATCTGTTACAGCTCGTACGCCATCTTCAGCTCCACTCCCCACCGCCCCATTAACGATCGGATCTCAGATCTATTTTTGATCTTATCCTTTTCGATCTCCTCAACCGTAGGCGCGCCTATCTAATTGCCGGCTGTACCAAAAATTAGGTACAGCCGGCTGTACCAATAATTGAACAGTCTAGCTCGAAACAAATATTATACTCTCCCTGTGGAAGAATGACCTTACTTGCGAGTGATTGCTACTATGCCACCCTTTTAATTTAGTATAGTATTAGTTGGTACTTAGATACTAATTTGTTAGGCTCGCGACAAGCCTTAAGGCCTCCATATTCTCCTCTATGTGTTCCAAAATGAAAATAGACAAACCTTCTGGAACGAAAGGAATAAACTATTGACTTTTTCAAAACTAAGATTTTATTTAATCTAAAACCAAACCTAATTAACCTAGACTTTTTGTGGATTTTCCCATGTCAAAATCATTTTTATTTTTTGAAAGAAAAAAAGTGGGCATTAGAGATTTGCTTATTACCTTGTCCACAAAGAAATATAGTCTTAGGGCTTGTTCTATTCAACTTAACTCATTTGTTCTAATCAGATCTGATATTATTGCAGTTATATTTAGAGTTGTTTGCGACTAACCAAAAAGTGGGCCAAGATAAATAAAATAGCTCAACGAAAGTTAGACTGAGATTGAAAAAGGGGGGATGAAGTGTTCAACTGGTCCACGACACAAATATAAGAAGCTTAAGATGATTGAATCATGGGTTTAACAACAACAAGCAAGTGAATACACATGTGAAGACCATGTCAAGATAATACTCTTTCATCACGATACTCTTTCATTAAATGGAACATTAAAATTTCCTTGCTTCTTACTTTGTGTGAAGTTTTGGGCAATAAATGCAGCAATGCATCTAGGGTGTAACTGCAACAGCCTCTTTATTTTTACTGGGTAAGACTGCATACATCTTGACCCCTAGACCCCAACGGAGTTGGGATTATACTGGCTTGTTGTTGTACGTTTCACGAGCTATCAGTCACTTGTGCAATGAGGCTGAGCCTATTTTTAGGATCCATATGAAGATTTATACTAGAGCTTCCATGGTTCCACTCATTCCTCGCGTCTCCTTGAATTTTCTTTAAAGTGTGTTCTCACGCAAGAGTTACTGGGTAATAGTTTTTCTAAATTCCCTTACATCGGCTTTCAGCCTCATCAAACACACCGACGTGGCTTGAATAAAAGAGACATCTATTAGAAAATAAGAAATCACCCAAAATTGGAGTAAAACATACGGAGTAGCTCTTATCTTCAAAATAGGAATGACAAATTTTTATTCTCAAAATAGGAGCACTGTGACAATGTAGCACTATATATTGACATTTCACAATTTTTTTAGCATTAGATCTAGACATTATTGGCATTGTAACTCCTATTTTGGTAATTTCTCTATTTTTTGCTTCTAGTTTAGTCTTTTTCAATAGAAAATTGGTTCCAGATCCCTCTTCCAACGAGACGAGCAAGGATTGATGGTGCTAAAACAAGCCCCTTGATGTTGGTTGGATCTGACCCAAGGTAGTCTTGAAAGAACTCATACTATTGTCTGCCGAATCCACGAGACTCATCTGCTCTCCCTGCACACTTAGTTATTGCTTCTCATATTTCGAGTGGCTGGAGTAATGATGGGTGCATCAGCAGCGGCAGGTTAGGTTTACTGAAAAGGTCTTTTCTGTTTCTACATCAAGCTTCTCGCGGAAAACTAACACTATGTTTGGTTCAAGGAATTTGAAATGGAAAAGAAAAGAAAATGAGATGGAAAATAGTTTTTCTTGTTTGGATAGAGAGGAAAAGAAAAGAAAAGTAGAAGGAAAATGAAATGAGAAGACAAAATATATTAAGAGGAGAGAAAATCAAATTCCTTCCATTTTGGTGAGGAAAATGAGAGAAAATCATTTTCTTTTCTTTTCCTTCCAAAATCCTTGAACCAAACATAGTGTAAGTTTTTACTGCATCAACCCAAACCTCCATTCAACCACCCTCCCATCAGTCACAACAGATACCCAAGTGATGCACAATCCACTTAAAACACAAGATAAAACAACAAAATGTGAAGGGCGTTATGAGTGCTTTCAGGTAAACATTGGATCAGATCCAAGCTATCATGAGGGCTAGCTGCAGCAGGTCCTTGTTAGGTGAGGAGTGAGTGGGCCAGTTTTCTATTAAATGACTTTTTTTGTTCTTGGCCTCTACTATTCATGTCGTGATGGTGTTGTTGATGAGAGTCATTCGCAGGGAGTTAGTTTACTATTCAGAAATTCTGGCATTAAAAAATTTAAAAAAGACCTTTTAAAGTTTAAGGAGACCTGTAGAGGTATGTTCTAGACCTGTGCAAATAATGATCCGGGCCGGATCTGGGCCGGGCTTGATACAAATTATTAACCCATTTGAATGGGCGGGCTTGGCCCAGCCCGGATTTGATGGGCTAAACTCTTTACCCATACCCGCCCACTTTAGCGGGCCGAACTGCCCACCGGGCCGAACTGCCCGGATAAAACATCAAGTACATTTTTTTACACAAAAAAAATCAAAAAGAAAATACTGAATTCCTTTTCAAATGTTTAAAATAAAATTACCACTCGCCACATTTACATAGAAAACATAATAAAAATATTGTTACATAATTAATAAACCCATCATACAGATTCATTAAAACACTATTGATTTTTGTTTAAGAGAGGTGAGTGATATGAACTATTATACATGAATTAAAGAAAATATTAAAATTTATAATGTCTAGATAATTAATACGTAGTAATGAATTAAATGTACTAATGAATATGGGCGGGCCTATTGGCCCGGATGGGCTAAAAGTAATTTCCATATCCGCCCAAATACAATTCGGGCTTGGGCCGGCCCGCCCATGTGGGTATTAAAGATTGTCCATATCCGCCCATTTTAAAGGGCGGGCTGGGCGGGCCGGACGGGCCGACCCTTGTTTGCACATGTCTAGTATGTTCGCGAGGATTAAGGACTGAGTGGAACTATGAAGGTTCTAGTGTGAATCTTCATAGGGTCCGCCTCTTTAAACAAGGGAATGAAAGCTTGAAAATCTTCATGAAAGGGTAGAATATCGACATGCTACAATTACCCTCTTTGTTGTTTTCATCTTCACTTGGAAATTGCTACAAATGCCCTCTTTGTTGCTTTCATTTCAACAGTGCTATGTCTATCAACCGACGTATAGTACTATGTATTTCTCTAATCCCGTTTGCTTTCCAATTATCTACCCAAAACTTATTTTTTCAGAATCTAAAACAAATGAAAACTACTGTTTATGGGGTGAGAATTGACATAATCAAGAGTATCAGCTTTTCATAACCAAAGCCAAATGAGACCTTAGTTTTTAGTCTTCTTGTTGTTTTCAATTATTTAAATGTTGAGCAGCAGTTGTGTGGAGTAATGGATTATTGAAAAATACTAATTGTGGCAAAATCAAAATTCAAGCTTTTAAGAATTTTAAAAATGGGAGTGGTAAATCAGCTATGCCTCTCACCATGTAAATTGAACTGAAATGTTCTATTTCCCACTGCACGATCTCCAAGAAAAATTTTATTTTGGCTAAGAAATTTATAATAATCCGATTAAAATGCAGATTTATGAATGCATAACATTAAATGCAAACATTTTACAACAACAATGAAGCTTCATGTCCCAACAAACAACAACAACAACCCAGTTAAATCCCACAAGAGAAGGGTTTGGGGAGGGTGTGTGTACGCAAACCTTACCCCTAGTCCCTACTCGAAAGTAGAGAGACTGTTTCCAAAGAGACCCCCGGCTCAACGTCGAAAGTTGCATTGCTTGACTAATTGCTACTTCATTAATTAAAGAAGTGCAGACAGTTTAGAGATCCATTTTGAAGCTTCATGTCCCAACAACTAAACAATTAAACATTTTAAATGCAAGTAACAAAACTATTTTAAAAACATATATTTGAAAGAAAGATATACAAACATAGCAAATACTGATCTGGAATGTGTGTATAATATCTGCAGAGTAGTTAGTGATTCTCATTCTCTATTTGAAATTCAACCCTCTGCAGATTCATTAATTAATGATCAAAAAAATCTACTAAGGTTAGAAGATGGAGTGTAGAAAAAAAATACCTTTGGACCGATATGGATAACAGCAAAGAGAATAGAATAGAAGGGAAGCTGATATATCTGGGCTCAGCCTCATCATGGTTCGCCCTATACCCTACACTCCCGGGGGAAGCCGAGGACCTATGTTTAAGCTATATGATCCATTTTGAAGGCCCTTAAACCCATGATCCTCCTCAATCCCTACAATCCAGAAACAACACCAAACCTTAACCATTCTCCCCCTTCTCCTTTTCATCTTGGTCGAACCCATCTTCCCCAAAACCCTACCTCATTCACCCCTCAAGACCATGTTAAAACACACCCAACAAAACCCCCTTCATAACCCTTAAGTTGGTCGAAAACAAGAAGCCAAAACAAACCCATTTACCCCTTAAAACATCCACCCAACAAGGCCCCCACTAAGTCCCCTAAACCAGACACAAAACATCCATTACTTAACAAAACACACATGGCACAACTTTAACAATTTAACCACCAAATAAACCACCACACCACATGCCAAAACAACACATGCCAATCCCTCCCACTTGCCTCATGGCCTGGCCGAATACAACCCCCCCAAATCAGCCCATCAAAACAACACAAAAACAACCAAAAACCATATTAACTCATGGACCAAATCAACCCCTCTCAGTTTCCCACCCCTAGCCGAACACAACACACCAAAAACCAACACTCATTCACTCCCAAACATTCCACAAACCATGGCCCCATCTTTGTCCCCTAACCACCTAATTAAACAACATAATAAAACGAAGGACCATTGACCACTTAACCACCCTATATTCTCCCATAATAACCACCCTATATACACCTTAATATCCCCCCTGACCGAAAATAATCTCCCCAAATGATCAGCCACAACACACCAAATAACCCAACCATTCTCACTACCCATTGTTCCC